GCTGTCCTCTGCTCACAGATGAACATCCAGTGTTATGTGTACATGCAGGGGATTTGTGTCACTAAAGGACCTCAGAGGCTTGGGCACACTCACTGAGAGCTGTTTTGTTGTGGCAATGCGGTGCTGAGGATGTAATGCTCACAGGGATAGCAACCTTAGGCCCCAAAGTAAGCAAAAGCATGTGCATTCTTTGAAATCTGTTCTAGGTTAGTGTTGTTTCTCTCTGTATCTAGTGAGGATGCATGTGAGAGCAGCAGAAGTGAAATGAAAAAAAGGCTATTTAAGTTACCTCTTCTTCTGTGGTAACAGATTTAAGAATTAGATTGCCAAATCATAATTCAGGTAGTTCCTGTCTTTCAGTATTTTACCTTAGCGCAAAATAGAATTCCTTCCTTCTTAAGAAAACAGGCAAAGTATAATCACTTTTGATTATGTGTTTTAATAAATTAAGGTAGCATAAATTTTGCTAATGGAATGAAATATTAATGGCTTAATTAAAAAGACAGTATGGATTTAATAACATTCATGGTCAGTAATTTTTTTTCTTTAATCTTTATTATTTGTCTTAGGAAGATCTTTCTCTTTTGTATGCTTGCTTAGTGAAAATCAGGGTACAGAGGTTCTCTTCATATAAAATCTTAAATGTGTTTCCTCTGTGGTTTGTTGAGGTTTGCAGGCTGGAACAGAAAGGCAGTTTATGTTATAGACATAAGTATCTCTTTTGTATCTTTCTAGTATCTTTCTAGTTCTGTTAAAATGGTATATATTTTTGTATGAATCTCATTTTCTAAAACAAACACCCTCAACAGCCTTACTAGTAGGTCTCTCCATCAGCCAGCATTTTATCTGACAATATTATTTTCCTTAATTTCACAGAAATAGAGATATCCATATTGCACTATTGAAGCTGGTGTATACTCTTTCAAGGAGAAGAGAGTGATATTTATTTCCATTATCAAAAGGAGGTGGAAGTCACCATCTCCCAGATGGTGGAAGCATATATATTTTCAAGAAAATCAGCATCACTCAAATAATCTCAAATTTATACCAGTTAGTGGCTGTACTTTTTTTATAATTGTGATAAATGAGGAGAGGGTTTTGCATGTTTAGAGATAATATTTCCATCTGATAATCTGATGGAGAATTTGATCTGTTCTTGACTGATATTTTGCTGGCTGTCTGACAGGTTGACTAATGCCATCAAAAAGCTCTTTGTGATCACCTTGACTTAGTTGTTTTATGCAGGCATACGGATGGATGCCATATAGCACTGCAGATGCTATTGCTGTTGATGCTTGGTGGCAGATGTGGTACATTAAGATTGATTTAGCTGCATTTCATTCACATTGAAATAAGGGATGTTCCTTTGGTTTTTTTCTGCTCAGAACTAGAATTCCAAATTATTTTTTTTTATTTTTCTCCTTTAATTTTGAGGTATAAACACTTTCATACACGTCTAAGACCAGAAAGGAGAAGACTGAAGTTCTTTAAGCGTCAGCAGGAAGCAGGTAAAATTTCTCAGCATAATCATGGGACGAACACCTCGAGGCTGTGAACTGCTGTCTACCCCAAACTCCCTTTGAAAGCAGTGGGACTGTTAGACTCACATACCATATCCACATTTAATATCATTCAGCTGTGACATCACTGTGAGCCTAGGAAGAGCAGAGCAATGGAAGTCTATTTCCAGGATGGTGGAAGGTGTGCCGACAGCTCCAAATCACAAAGTGAGAACATATTTTCAGGTGTGTTATAAGAAGAACTGAAAAGGCACTGGTGCACTAAATGTTACTAGATGCATAACATTTACAGAAAATGAAGCTTATTTTTGGCAGTAAATAAAATCTGATTCTTCACAGGCTGTTTTTAAAACTAGAAGACAAGTTACCTTTGCATTCTGGTGGTCGTGACTAGTTTCCTTGCCTACAAATTATTCTTTGTCCTGAAGAAGGCTGGTTAGCCTAAAAAAGGGGAGCTCAGAGGGGATCTCATCAATATCCCTAAATACCTGAAAGGAGGGTGCAGAGAAGACAGACCCAGACTCCTTTCAGGGGGCCAGGACAAGAGGCAATGGACACAGATCGAAACACAGATTCCTTCTGAAATTCAGTAAATACTTCTCTTGCGTAGGGAGGTTGTGGAGTTTCCTTTCTTGGAGATATTCAGGAGCACTCTGGACATGGTCCTCGACAGCCTGCTCCAGGTGACCCTGCCTGAGAATGAGGGCTGATGAGCTCCAGAGGTGTCCACCCTGTGATTTGTGAATTCTTGTGCTCCGGGACAGAACTGTGCAGCCTATCATTTGCCTACCTGAGTGTAAAGCATGGTGCTGTGGCTTTCTCAGACAAGCATAGAATTATGATTGTGTGCAGCATTTTGACTGTTTATTTGTTAATGAACTAAACCCTATTCTGTCTCAGTCTTCTGAACAGCCTGAGCAAAATGTTTGCAGCATCCATCCTAAGTGAATGAAAACCACCAAGCTATTTGACTGATCAGTGTTTCCTAATGCTGTTTTTTATTACATTATAAAATACAAGACAGTCTCTAGAGTGAAAGAAAATCAATGTCTGTACGTTTAGGTGGTGTGGTCCACTTCTTCACTATTTCACAGGTAATAGCCAGCCATCTAGTAACAACAAAAAAGGGTTCACTGATAACTAGCTCCATAACTCTTCCTGCATTTTCCTCTACGGATACATGAGGTTCCTGGGAAGCTTTCATATGCTGTCTCTGAAAATGTGACCAGACAGCAGATGTGAATGAGAATAGCCTTTGTTTATGTGACTGAACTATCTGTAACACTTTGGCTGCTCATATTGGTTAATTGAGTGCAAAAATGTCAATCAAAGAGCTGTGTAATCTATGGGTTCATTTGATGCTGAAATTTAGACTGAGATAACCAGCAGTAGGAGCAAATTTCTGCTGGACTGTCACTCGCTGTCTGCACTACCATAACAAAGCACTATTTCTCTTTTCAATAACATTAATATAAAGCAACTCCTTTACTTTATTAATAACAGAAGACGTCTCTTGGGCACAAGTAAGCTTTATACATTTTATAGATTGGAAACCAAAGCATGGATCTGAGATACTTTGTCACAGTCACAGTTTGCATCCATGCTAAGAACTGCACCAGGGTCATCACAGCCAGAGCCCTGTCTTCACTGTCTTAGAAAAGAAATCAAACTGTTCTTGACATCCTGCATCCTGAAACTGGTATTTCTCAGTAACCTGAGTAAAGCCATAAAATTACCTTAATTTTCCTTAATTCTGCTTTGCATATTAAAGTATCAAGTTTCTTATTAATTTCTCACATGTACGCTTGCACCCACAAAATAAATACTGAACTGTAACACTGAATAAAGACTGAGCTTTTAATTCATTGGTGGTAGGGAAACTACTCATCTGAACACTATTCTTGCAGTGAGAAAAACACATCCTTGTTTGCTAGAAAGTTTATGGTCACAACCAAAGAAAGTCATTCCAGTGTATCTTTTTGCTAGAAGCAGGGAAAGAGGAGAGGAAAAGATGGTGGTGGTGTACTCGGCTTTTATGTTTCTTTGTTTGTTTCTAACTTCATAACTTCATAGGGAGTTTACATTGGCTGATGGCTGTCACTGGTATTTTCAAGAAAACAGAGTTGCAGCTGGATTCCCGAAATGCCTCACAACAAAAAGGAGCTGCAATGAGGTGGCAGTGGGGCAGTGCTCTGCTCTCCTTCCAAGGCAGTAAGACATGCTTTAAAAGTGTGAGGACTCAGCAACGTCGCTTCAGTGCAGCAGTACAGGAGGTGCTCCAAAGAGTTCGCGTTTGTACAACTTGGATTTCATGATGGTTGTTTTACTTGGACTTTTCAGTACAGGTGAGTTAGCTGATCACTATCCTGTTTCTCATTGTATTATCTGTATTCATAACAATGGTTAATATTGTTCATGTTTGCACTGTCAAGATTCTTCTCATTCTGTTACTAACACTGCATACAGTTTTCTTGTATTTCCAACAGGTCGCCAGCTCTGCTCTTTGTCTATAGCCAGGGTAGGATGTTCATCACTAACAGCAATGGATTTAAATCCATATTTCAAATATTCTTCCTCACAATTTTGATATTTTTTTTTTATTGATTTCTTGTCAGGTGTGATTAGAGAGACAATATCTTTTACCTCATAATGTGGCTCGTGAAGAGTTTGTGTTAGAAGCATCAGATTTCTCACTTTCTTGTTTGCTCATGTGTTATCTTCCGTGTTGTTAAAACTAAATGTAATTCACAAAATACACTTAAATGGGCACATATAAACTACAATGCATTGCAATACGCTGAAGGTGAATGAATGAGTGAGGGTGTTGCTGTGAACAGCTCTGCACTGTGGAGCACCTGATCTCCCCCATCAGCACCATATGTGACATGGAACCCTCTCACATGCAGACCAAGTGAAATCACCAATGTCAAATCATTTTTTTTTTTGGCTTTGGCAATAAATAATTATAAATATAAGTTTTAATATTTTCTTCATGCAACTCATTGGATCAAATTTCTAACCCCAAGTGGTGCGTATTCTCCACTTGGGAGCCCATTGTTCTAAAGGACATTCAGTGTCAATTTATTTGCTCTTAAGCAGAAGTGCTCCCTCCCCTCCAGGTCCCTACAAGAAAAGACCTGTCTGTGCTCACAATGTCAGATTAACTTTGCTATCTTCACATCACAATCTAGACAATATGGCCAGATATTTGGTTATGGGACTGTCAAAGCAGAGATTTAGCTGTTTCAAAATATCCATTACCATCCAGCAAAGGAAACAACAAAGGTATTTTTTTTTTCTTTGCAGAGAAATTAGTCTGTATTAATACTCCACATGAATATTAAAGAGTTAAATTCCTGTCTCCATATGCCACCAAAGCCAGCTTATTTCAGGACAAGATGGTTAATAAAACTAACAATGAGATCAATTCAGACTGGATAAAATGCAAACACAACCATTTTGGTGGGCAAAATGGAAACAAATGCAAACACAATCATCCGATCATAAAAACCATAGCAGATTCCAAGATGGAATATTGCCTAAGCTGCAAAGAAAACACAAGAGAACAGGAATTGCCAGGAAAATTAAGCTCAAATCACAAGGTCGGTTGAGGAATCCTTCACTGTCAGAGCTTTTGTGCCACTTCCATTCATCCAAAAATCCCTGCGTCTGAAAGAGAGACAAGAGGAAAAAGCGTGAAGACCAAGCCTGACACGCACCGCTGGGGCTCCTCACAGCAGTGGACAGGTAATTTCAGCAAAGCTCCCTCATGCAGCCCTGCTGTGTCCTGGGCACGGAGCACTTACATTCACACGTAGGATACGAGATCACTCCATCCCGGCACACTGCTCTAAATTTCTCAGGGCGTGAAACTTGCCGGTAAAAATATTTGCATTCAAATAAAATATACTCCCCAGTGGCAAAGGTAGAGGGACTCGACCAGCTTGATGACTGCAGTCGAATATGGTTCATTTCCATCAACCTCTCATTCAGTCTACAGTCCCCTGAAAAAAGTACTTTCATTATTTGCCCGTAGACCTCATAATGGATAACCGATGCTCTGGAAATGCTGGTGCTCTGGCACAAGCCCTAGGGCCCTCTGCCAGGCAGTCTTTCCAGCTCAGGTACAGCCATCAACAGCACTACCCTTCACCGCTTGCAGCTTGCAGGATGCTCCCAAACCCTGGTTCCCCAAAGGCATTCTCCCAGGAAACCTAAAGGCTTTGCCCGTGGCTTCAGCACTGAAAATGCAGTAGCACTGCACCTAAGCTCTGCCCAAAGAGGAGATGACTTACTTGCTGGCTTACACTGGGGATATTCTAATGTCCCCTCCAAACACTCTACTCTGAATGGGGAAGAGGCTGGGTCCTCCATATAGCCTCTTTTACACCGAAATTCAATAAAGTCACCCGATCTGGAATACAGCTTTCTTCCTCTGGTCCATTTCAGCTCAATATTGTTTCTGCTCATGTCTTCTTCAGATGCTGTACAGGCCACTTGAAAAGGCAAAAGAGGAGTGTCATCATTCCATACAGGCTCAACACATGTAGCATTTTTCCCCCCAAAAAACACGTGCTTCAGGCTACCTAGGCAAACTGGGGGGCTTGTCCACTGCCCATCAGTGCAGGTGATAGACGGAGATCCTTCCAGGACATAGAAGTCTGGGCATTTGTATTCCAAAGTTGCACCCTCCGGGTATTCTTGCATGGGGAAGGACAGAATGTCTCCATTTTCAATAACTGGAGGCGAGCCACATTTCCCACCTTTCCCTGGAAGGAAATTCCCAGTCAATGAGAGAGAAAGCCCAGGAAGTCAAGGGCTGCCTCTCAAAATCAGGCCTGGCCAGCAACCGCTCCCAGCCCCAGGGTAATTCTCCAGATGTGTCCCTATCGATTGAAACCACTTGGGTCTCCCGGCTGGAAAACTCATGTGAACAGAGCCCAGCAAAAGGGTTTTTTTCCTGGGAGCACCAGATACGTTGTGTCTGTGCACAGCAATGAGACTGAAATGGGAGAAGTGAACGCCCCGGCGTCAGCTCCAGGACAGTCTCACCCACAGGCGACTGTATGGAAAGAGAGAGAAATCACCTGTGCACGTCGGCAGCTCTGTCCAGGTCCCGTTCCAACACACTACGGTGGGAGCCCCGCTCATCTCAAAACCTCGCCAGCACTGGTAGCGAGCGCTCTCCCCAGGCAAGTACCTCGACTTCTTAACACCTTGAACTTTCCCGCCAGCGATTTCAGGAGGAGGTTTACACGTCGCATCTGAAACGAGACACGGCTGCGTTCACGGCTGCAGGGGTTGAGCTGTTCCCCTCTGCACCCTTGCTCCTATTTCTGCTGGGATTCTCTGCCTCAGGTGGGCCACAGCTCCAGGAGCTCCCTGTGGAGGTAGCAATGGAGCGACAGAGAGCTCTCTTTCTGGGACCCTCAGGAGAAGGCAGGGTCAACGACAGCTTCCAGAAACAGCCAGTGTTTCTGTAGCTACACCTGGCCGCACGAGAAGCCACACCGGCCTTCCTACGTGCCCACATCCCTCCCCAGGGAGCCCTGGAATGCCTGGAAATCACAGGGTAGCACCGAGCTGGTGCTCTGTGGAACTCAGAGCTCTGGAGGAGTGGCAGCACTGGATGAGCTCGTCAGCGCTGCTTGGGGGGGGGTGAGCGCAGCCAGCTCCACGGAGACGTGCGGAGGCCAAAGAGCTCTTGTTCACCCTGTGCAGCCAAGGACTTGGGCAGGGGACTGGAGCACAGCTCCTGACGATTCCTTGTCACGGAAGCACTCTTCCCACTTCATGGCCCCAGCAGATCTACCATGGTTTAGATCTGAGTCTCTGCTGGGATCTGCATTGGTCAGAGCGGAGCCCTGGAGGAGAACAAGCGTTTCCCTCCCTTACTGCTTCTTCCATTCAGGTGCTCCCTGGCGGGTTTGGACAGGACAGAGGAGCCCTCATGCGTCTTTCTACAGAGGAAGGCTGAAATGGCAGCCTCTGGGGAAACAGCAGCATCGTACAGGAGAATGACAGAGCAGCACATTTTAGACTCTGCTTCTCCAAGACATTTTTGGCACTGATGAAAAGATCCCCAGTATTTCTAGAAGCACCAAGGTAAAGTCAAGTGATGCTCAAGGAAGGAATCGCAAGTACTGAGCTGTGGTACACAAAGTGAAGTACAAAAAAAAGTCTTTAGTGTTTAGGGAAACAGTCCCCTCTGTGCTAACAGGCGATACCAAAGCACAGATTCCTACCTCTACAAGTTGGTGCTTGTGACCATTCTCCATTTGTACACATGACATAATTTCCACCCATCATCTGAAAATTGCTTTCGCATTCAAAGTGCACTCTGGCACCGGGCAGATACCTCTCCTGTTGAGTGCTTGTGATGTACGCATGGGGAATTTCAGGTGCAGCTCCACATGTAACATCTGGAAAGAGGAGTAGAGCAGCAGCAATATGAAAATCACAGGTGTTGCATTCCAGAGCATTATTATTCCTGAAGAATAAAAGCAGTTTGTGTACTATAGACCATTTTCTAGCAGAGTAAGATGTTATGGTCTTCATTCTGCACTGCTTTGCCACACAGCACTATTTTTGCCTAGAGCGACTAAAAGAGAAAAGGATTGGCAGAGATCCACCGAATGTGCTGACTGGCACTGTACAGGATTGTGTGTCAAAGCGCTGTAGAGTGGAGTGATTTCTTTACTGTTTGAAGGTAACTTTCAGCAACTGACATGCTTAGCGATGTGAAGATAAGATACATTACCCTACCAGTAGTCCCCTCCTCTGCAGCCTGCGTCCATTCCTCCATAATCCTCTGCCTGCCTAATTTCAGCAGAGAGACGAACTTCAACTACTAGGTTTTGCCCACAGAGGAAACATTTCTTTGCTGATAGACCCTCCTTTTTGTTTCTCAGAAGCCAGGAAAAGAGGATTGGTAGCAGCCCATCCAAAGCAAGCCACTTTGTGTCTCTATTGGCCAGACTCACCTGCATTCCCGAGTTGAAACTATTTTAATTCACAACATGAAAGACCAAGGAGGATCATGGACTAGTTAGAAGCAGAACCTGTACCTTCACAAATGGGCAGTCCTGTCCAATTTCCTTTTCTGCAAATAATTTCGGGAGGGCCAACAATCAGGAACCCCACATCACACTGGTAGCGAATTGTTTCACCAGGCTTATAAACTTCCTTGTTTCTGCCTTCTGTCTGAGCATTGGCAACTTTTGGAACACTTCCACATGGCATTTCTGTAAAGATACAGAAATCTGATGCTTGTACTAGTGTGATAGACATAGAATGAGTGTACTGTCTGCACCGAACAGATGCTTTAGTGAGCTTTTTCTAACATCCTCATAGTCATCTGCCAACAGTGGATTTCATGTAATAGGTAGCATGTGGAAGATTAAATAAATCATTCCCCTAAACAGGCATGGACTTCAGTCACTGAAATATTTAGATCCTATTCCTAACCATGTCAGGCAAAATTTTAATAAAGAAGTCTTCTGTCCCCTACTACACTGAAGAGGTTTCCACCACTGAAGCACCAAAGCAGCTCCTAGGCTTTAGTGTAGTAAACAGAACCTTGCACTGTGAGGATGTGTCCAGGGCCCACCTGGCAGAGATATGAACAGAACATAGCTTGCATGAGTACGAGAGAAAATTTAACAGCTAAACTGAACTCAAAACATCAGTTTTATATCCAATCACGACTGCTCTGAAGACTTTCATGATGCTGATACAATTCCATAGCAAAATAAGGAGTTACTGGCACTTACTATTGAACCTCCTGTTTCAAATTATTACTATTTCATGGCTAAATGCACTTAAAAAAACCCCAAGTATTTGTTGATATTACCCAAGCACGTAGGAGCTGAAGTCCAGCTTCCCATAGAACACGTTATCTCTGATGGTCCCTCTAACTTGTATCCAGGACGAGAAGTATACGTTAGTCTGGCACCAGCCAGATAAATTGTTTCCCCTTCTTTTTTAATTTTTAAGTTTTCATTTTCCATCCTGGGATCATCAGCACATTCTATGGGTCGTGGTGGCAAACAGGGTCTTTCTAAAACATATATGTAGAACACACAGATGAATAAATGTAAGACAATATCCCAATGGCATGTGCTGTCTTAAAAGTGGAAAGAAAAAGAAATAACCTAAACTTAAATTAATTGGCTTGAAAGGAAGATGAAGAAATAGATAACATACACAGAGCAAAACCTTTCTCTCCTTTCCCTTCTATGTGGGGTTTCTCTCTTTTCCTTTCAACCAAATTAAAGCCATTTCCAGTCTAAAGCAAAGAGGTACAGTTACAGCTTAGCATGAAGAACAGGGAACATTTCATAGGCAGAGAAATAGAAGAGACATTATCTTGTTTGGGGACACTGAAGGTGAGTTTCTAGAATGATAGCCATTAAGTTTTTCCACCATTCATAAAGTTATACCAATGTTCTGTGGAGTTTTGTGATAACATGAAAATCAAAATCAAAAAGAGAAAAAATCAAGTATCAGAATGTATTTCCTGATACATATAATGGATTAGATCTCTGTGAAGCTGAAAAAACTGAAAGCGAAATCTCAACTCCAAACCAAAGTTTGCTACTACTACAACTAAATAATAAATAATATTGATATTTTCAACATGACACTATTAAAGGCCGCCAGTAAAAACTGTGCCAATCCATTCTGCATCATACTAAACAAACAAATAAACTCACAGCTCTTGAGGGTCTGCCTAAAAGTTGCATTTCTGACCTCAGATAGATGTGTACATGAAAAGATTTACTCTTCAGCAGTTGTTTAACTGCACTTTCTTTAGCAGCTTCGTTCTATTGCTTTTCTGCAGTTACCTGCTCATGATAATATTAACATAAACACTACCATTCCCCTGTTAATGGTGATGGTAAATGCATAACACAGAAATTTATAACAAAATAAATAGGAAAAAAGAATCCACTACTGACCCACACAGTGAGGTGGTGATTGCCATTTCCCTTCTATACATGTTATTTCATTCATGCCAACGAGCTGGAAACTCTTCAGACACGAAAAAGCTATTTTACTCCCATTCTTGTAGTTTCTTCCAACTGTTGTCTGTTGAGCATGAGGCAGCTGGGGTGGAGGTGGGCATGCGCTTTCCTCAGCTAAGGACACATACTCGTGTTATAACAAAACATAAGATAAAGTAGAATGGTTCATTGCAGATTACAAGACAAACAACCAGGAAAACACTGGCAGTAGGTAATACTTCAGTAGCTATCTCAAGCTTTCATGAATATCAATCATGATCATTTTGTTCTGCTTCAGAAACGCCAGAGCTGCCTTCAGATGCTTATGTGCTTTCCGACTTACAGAAGACCATTGCTTACACCAGTTAAAGCTGGAGCTTTTTGTAGTCCTTCCTTTCCTTTACAAACAGCTGCACAGTCTTGTGTGCTTTCTATGTTCCTCTCTATAGTGAACTATGTTAGGAAAACTGGACCAGCTCTTGAGGTTCCTGTTTTGTTTTGTTTCACTTTGTGGTTTGTTTTTTTTTTTTATTCAGACTTTCTGGTAACAGAGCTAAATAAGAATCAGAAATGGAAACAAAGAAATAAACTTCAGTTTTGCCGTTCAAGGAATGAAGGGCTGCTCCTACCAAGGGAGAGAAAAAGGGAGGGAAGAAGGTAGATCTCAGAAGGAGATTTGGAGACCTCCAGCACTTGGTTTGTTGCTTCTAGTGGCTCCAGAAAACTTGTTTTTGAAATGGAATGCTCCCTTGAGTGACTGCCTCTCTGTCTACCTCTCCCATTTCCATGCATCATTTCCCATGAATCTGGCATAATCAAAGCAGGCAGTGAGTTGATGATTATTTCACAGTCATGCCTTCTACAGGCAATATTCTGCTAAAAAGGGAAAAATAGGAGGAAATCGGAAAAAAAAAAAAAAGGGCAAAATCAGGACTAGAAAAGCTTTGAGTGCTTCCAGAAAATAAAGGAACTTTGGCCTGAGCTTCAGCTATGCGCTACTCTCATTTGCACCCCAGTAAAGACCTTTTGAAGAACTGAGCTTAAATTTGCCATTGAGTCTTTCCTCACATCAGAAGTGGCAGTGACAACTGTTCCACTGCCAGAATACACATAACTATGTCTGGCTCACTAAAGCCGTGCATCTCTAAACCCAGTTAACTGTTTAAATGATTGCCGTAATTATTCATTATTATCCCTTAGCATATCACTGAGTAAGCACACTTCCAAGTGTATATGTAAGCATTCCTATTTCAGACTAGTGACACAGTGACATTAAGGAGGTTTAATAATAGGCATTTATCATTCCTCCATAAAAAGAAGAAATTATGTGCAAATCTAAAGCCATACCTGTACATTCAATCTCCGGTAACCATCTTCCAGACACGCAAGCTGCTTTTTTAATCTTTCTGTCACCTGTTGTACATGTGTAACGTATAACTCCAGGGGACCTAGGCTCCTTTTTTGACTTGTGAAGCTCAACACCCATTGGAAGAACACACTGAGGGGATGGATCTGAAAAAAATCAACAAAAAGAGCAAAAACACCAAAACATACACATGCATTCTGTAATGAAGAGGTCATTGGTTTCCTAATGCATGTCCATGTGAAAGAATTGTGTTTTTTACTGTATTGTGAGGTAACCCCTAAGATTCCTAGATTACAGTAACAGAATAATTCCTTGCTCCAGATATCTAAAGATGAGGCTGCTCCACCTCATAAAACATTGATTTTTATGCTGGCAGTTTCCCTTTTGTTGAGTGCAGTAAACAATACAAAACCTAATAATCCTTCTCTTCCCTAAGACTATAAAATGATAGTAAGATGAGCAAGAAACAGCTTGTAGAAGCAGGAGCATAAAGAAAGTACTACTCCATATCGTATATGTATCAGGTATCAATCTCCTGTGGAAGTGTTGCTAAGTCATAACTGTGTCTTACGCCCTCTACCAGTGATTCTGAGAGGCAGAACACAAGACAATTGTGAAAGCTCATCAGACCGGTTTTTATGCCTGATTCAAACCTCAGCTTAATTGTAAATAAAGGCACAAAGCTCTCAAATCACTGATGAATATAAAATGAATTCAGAAGAAAGGAGGAACCAAGAACTGAATGTATGCGTTCTGTTAAAGAAAGACAAGCAATTGGCTAGAGTGATTTTTCACGGGCAAGAGTTATTCTTGTCCAGTATTGATTTTTTCTTAAATTACTGACTCTAATGTAATTTTTTTTCTTTTTCTTAAGAAAAGGCTTTGGTTTATATCTTTGCAAAAGGCATTACTTTCATTCAACTTACGCACTGCAAAACTAAATGGAAAGATGCGAAAAAAGAGAAAACTGTTGATCAGAAACAAAAAGGACTAATCCACATAAAAATGGTGAGGATGAGATAAGCCTAGCGCACATTGGTTACTAATGTAATTTTTAATTCCCAGTAGGGTTTCAAAAATCAAAGTAGTAAAAAGAGACATTAAACTACAAGTAATTAACGCAGCAGGCATGCTACCTTATTGCAGGTATGTCCCAAGGCTTCTGAAAGGTTGTTACTAGGGAGGAACACTGGAAAATGGGTAAAAGCTACCATATACCAAGGATGTACACCTGTACACCCGTACACCCGTACACCCGTACACCCATACTTGATTTTACCCGCTGTGCAAGTGTCCATTCCCTTCACCAAACCTACTCAGAGCGCTTACAGAGTTGTAGGTGTGGAGCCTTTCCAGGATGAAGGACTTAGTTGAGATGCATAAAACTATAGTACCTTTGGCTATGTATCGCTACCTGAAATTCCTCAACTTTTAAATAGATTTATGTTTCACTCAGACCTGAAACATTACAGAAATATTATGTATGGACGTAGCATACCAACACAAAGTGGTAAAGGCTTCCACTCCCCATTAAGACATTTTATTTTCATTTCCTCAGAATTGCCAGTGCCTTCTTTACATCCACACATTACTTCAGAACCATGGGAAAACTGCGGCTGGTCTTCCTGATGAATAACAACATTCGGAATAGAGGAAGGAGATCCACATGGCATTTTGTCTTCTGTTGAAAACAGTAGAAGTATTCCACAATAATACTGGAGGCATATATGAATACTGAAAGGACTTAAATAAAAATAACTATATTTGCATTTCGTGAGGCAAACCTACTCCCATTAATTGTAACAGCAGCTGGAGTACGTATGTCCTTTAGTCAGTGTACTAAATCCCTCTCCCGTTTTTTCCCTTCCTTTTCCATCACTGTGGTAACTCCACAGCATGCTCCACAACTACTTTCAGCTAACAGTAATTTCCCCAATCTGTTTTTCATTGTTATATAAACCCTAAAGTGTAAGAAAACCTTCAGTTAATCCAGCTCACGCGGATCCCTGAGCGGGATCAATCCAGCTCACCTGGATCTCATCAGTCAAAATTATATTTGATTATACAGCTACACATTTGTAATGTGCACCTGCAGTTAGTACTATTACAAGAACTGAAAACCACAGTATCATCACTTAGAGGGCTGCAGCGCTGTCACCTCTGTGTGACAACAGGGAGGTTCCTGCTTTGGGCTGTCAGTGTTGCAGTGGTAGTGGCAGCACACATGAGGGCAGCAAGGGAGTATTGAGTTTTTTTGAACAGGAAAAAGGCACAAAAGGGGAAAAAGGGCATACGCCTGCTCTGGATGAGGGAGAGGGAAGACCCATGATAAACTCAAAAACTGAATCTGAACTCAAGTTTGGACCACTCTTCTTTCAAGCCTCTGCTCCATGCTAAACAGTTTTAATCCATCAGTGTTGCTCATAGAAGATGTGCCAGAATGTATATGTATAGGGACAGAGTACACCAGTCTATAAAACCTGCACCTTTTACTGGTTGTGCTGTTAGATCATCCTGTGCCATAAGAATGACCTGAATTACTTTCTGTATTTACAGATTTTCTGCTTGAATATTCCATCCTACTTTAACTCTGAGACGCTGTCTGAACAAGCAAAGAGTAGTTTTGCACAAGCAGTTTTTTTAGCTCCTGTCATTGACACTTGTACCCTCAGGTTTGATGTATGCTATCTAATGACATCACAGAAAGTGGGTACTTTCTTCCAGAAAAGAGGGTAAATAAGAGAAAGTGTGTATATAACAATTGCAATTGTATACTATAAATTGCTTGCGTTGCGTAGATATTCTGTACTATTTATATATTTATAATTATTCTTTCTATATTATGTATTTATTTTCTTCCTATAATCGCAACAATTATTTTATTGGACTGCTAAGATTTCAACTATATTACTAATAAGGTTTTGGCTTTACTACATAGTGTGTATTTACTTTTCAGCCATAATGCGATTTTGAACACAATGTATTATACCTGCAAATATGTAATTTTAGTTGTGAAAATATTCTTGAAGTATTAGCCTACAGTGAATTAGAGACTTCTCACAAGTATGGGTTACATAGATTACCAATGCAAGAGGGAGGAGATGACCACTGTCCATCAACACATTCTATTTCCTTTGATCCAACCAATTTCAGTTCACTGTTGCATTGGTATGTCTTTCTGTCCCCATGATGAGACCGTTTCACAGAGGTATCAGCAATACTTCCATTGGTAATCTCAGGTGGAGGTCCACATCCTTTGGCGTTCACTGAAATCAAGAGATCAAATCTATGCTCTAACATACTAACTCAGTACTTTTAGCACAGTTTTATGTGAAGTGCAACACAAAATAGATTGAACTTGTAATTTAAAGTTAAGAAAAATCAGTAGAAGAGGTTCAACAGGTCATTGGCTTATGTATTTGAATATCTGGATTTGTGCTGGGCTGGAGATCATAAACAGATAAGCACGATCCTGGCTCACTCTTCTCTCTTATTTCCATGTACTGTCAATTGCCTGCTATGATAAAAGAAGTGGTTGATAAAACCAACCCACTTTTTTAATAATAACTAGCTCTGTGTCATCTCCAAAACATTTTTTTTTCTTTCAGTGTCATGTGATCAAAAAAAGGTACAGAAGGTACAGTATCTGACGAGTATCAGCGTTTAAGCTGTGGCATAATGTAGCACATTTAGGATACAGTAAGAGAGGACAGTGTTCAGACTAATCATTCCTGGCTGCCACATTGCACATTATTTATGCTTTTTTAAAAAAAAAAAAAAATAATTTTGCACACATTATAGTCAATAACCTGAGCAGAATTTTGCACAATTCATTTACCAGCTCACTTTCAGTTCTTGCCAAACTTCAGCTGGTGTAACTAAAGCTAACTGAAAGCTCAGCATTGAAAGTTCAACTGTTCAGGATATTTCACATAAAACAGCAAAACACATGAAATGATCCAAAGTTCCTGCCCTTTTAGAGACAAAGATGGGATAATTTTTCCTGGGAGCAAGACTGGTTTATAGGTGTCCACAGAAGACTTTAGGACCCAAGCATTTTCATCTATTTCCTACCAAAGTTAACAGAAGAATTACCTTTACACACAGGTGGTGATGGAAACCATCCAAAGTAATAGCACTGAGTAGAGGCAGGTCCTACTCTCACGTAATTGTTTGTACAGGTAAATTTCACAACATCTCCATTGCGGTATTTACCCTTCTTGGGAGAAAAGTCTCCATTGGGCAATGTCAGCATTTCACATTCGATTGCTACAGAGACAAAATATTTTAACATATAATGTGCACCTTACAAAAAATTGACAAAATGCTACTGATTAGAACAGAACAAATAAAAAATAATCTTTAAGAAAAAAGCTTCACAAAATATATAGAGAATTACGCAAGTACAACAATATTCACCAAGACACTGGGGCTCTGGATTCCATTCACCATTTATGCCACACCTTGTGGTACCAGTTGGCATATTATTTGCAGGTTGATATCCCTCCCAACATGCATACTCAATTGTATCTTCAGGCATGAACACAGTTTTATCTGCGTGGTAATTCAAAATGTTCACATGAGGTGCTTTACATGACTCTGTAGAATAAAACAAAAGTTAGCGCATTTTGTGATCCAGAAACACCATCCTTTGGAAGCACCATTTCTGTAGGTGCTTTAGTGTATGTTAGCCTACTGAACTACTCAGTATATTTGAAACATTAGAAGTTCTGCATTGTCAAAATATGAATGTAGAATATTGTCTATAGCATATTGATAGATCTATTGCATTAATTTTCAGAAATACGTGTGTAGAAGTAATATCTTGCATTAATAGTTCCTCCTTAGATTCAGTCCCTTTACTACATATTTTCATTATGATTGATTGGTGTCATAGCAAACAGTTTGTACTCCTGTTCCCCACCATCATTTGTGAGCAAACAGTTTGTACTCCTGTTCCCCACCATCATTGTGAGGGGTAGGGAAAAAAGGCACAAAATCCTAGGTAAAAGAAACCTGAAGTAAAAGGACAAGATATCAGCTAAAGCTGGTCAATATTACAGGCCTTGGTATGATAACACAGGGAGATTAAGTCTCGTCTTTCCTACCCATGTTCAGGAGAGGAGGAAGACACAAAGAGGATAAAGGCAACACCAGCATGGAAGCCTTTTCAGGCAAAAGCACTCAGGTGTTTTTCACAAATGGATTTTTTGACACCAGGGCAGCCATATACATAGTGCTTTTTTATGCAGGCTAACATATTTCCAAATAATGAACCCCATTTTTCTCTAGTTTGGTCACACTTGAAGAAAGTTTATGGAAGAATCCCTTGGTTCACAGGCCTTTCTTCATTAATCTTCCATCTGTGCAAGGTGAGAGAACTGGGAGTAAATTTGGGCATATGTACCTAGTACCAGGTAAGAATCACTGGTGAGGTCAGTGATTGCCACCTGCTTTATGCTACAGAGGTGCAAAAAGACAGCTCGCCTAGAAGACAGTATTTTCCTGCCTTTGTCGCTCCCTTTATATATTCTCACTTTACTTCCTGAAGCCCCAGAAAAATCAATGTCTGGAGCACCAGCCGCTGGTCCGAGTCTCCCTCTGCCCAGTGAAAATTATCTCTAGATGACAAAAAGCTGTGTACATCATGTCTGTGACAGTGACAGTGACAGGGAGCTCTGAAGACTTTACACTACTCACTGCTGCACTTGGGAGCTGGCATCCAGCCATTCTCTTGACACTCTGTGGCTCCTGTTTCTCGTAATTCTGGAGTTACAAAGCCGGTGCGACAGCGGTAGTTGGCTTTCTCGTGTATATTATATTCTCTCTTTTGCGAGGAGAAATAGCCATTGTCAAAATAGGCAATCTGGCATTTTTCTGAAAGAGACAGACAGATAGAATTTGCTGTGAGGGTGGTGAGGCACTGGAACAGGTTGCCTGAGGAAGCTGTGAATGCCCCAACCCTGGCAGTGGTCAAGGTCAGGTTGGACAGGGCCCGGTCTTGTATTCTGAAAGAAAACTTTCACATATGCCAAATTCCTTACTAATAAACCATTCCGTGAAGGAGTTTCTTCATTTTCAGAAATCAACACCACAACAAATAGCAATAGAGAGTCAAGTAATCCAAGATAGGGAAAAAAACCACTTTGAGGAACACTTGAGGATATGTTTCACTGCGAGGAGCAGAGTTAACGATACTTTAGTGCAAGAGCTGCAAAAGTTTAAACTCCATATCATTCTGGGGGGGGGGGGGTTTATATCAGTGGTACCCACAATAGCCTAGGAATCATAAGATTTTATTTTGCTGGCTCGTTGTTGTCTCAAGATCTCAGTGGGAGGCAGCATGAAACATTCTGTACTCGGTGCCTCTTTTAGGGTGGAATTTTTTCCCTAAAAAAATATTCTTATAGCACAAGAGAAGTCAGGTTGAATTTTATTTCTATGAAACCAGTATCTAAAGTATTTAAAGTCACTGTGAGATATTCTAGAAATTTCAGGCTTGGTGCAAGTTAGGAAAGAAAGCTGGAGTTTGGAGAGGTAACCTTCCTATTCCCCCACCCTTCCAGTATGGTGCTGACTAGAAAGGAAGCAAGAGAAACAAGGATCAGGTGGCATGGTGGGAGGCTGAAAGGAGACACATTACATGTAAGTTGTGCAAGCGGAATGATGACTCTATTATATTACTGTGTTAGAACAAGATTTCGCTACTGAAGACAACGAGACTATGACTGCCATCCCAGAGCTTACAGAGACCTGAATGAGGCACATGTGGATGTTTTACAGGGTTACATTGTGCACATAGTGAGTGACCTCAGCTGCATGCAGGGACTGAGAGCTGCACGAGACAGCTGAGAGAATCACAGCATTGCATTCCAGTTGTAGAGCACCTAGACTTAGAGTGGTGATGGATTAATGTAGGTGATGTGATGACAGATTTACTGGCTTAAGCTAGAAATGGCAACAAAATACAAGGACACACTCACTTTTACGGATACATCTTGGATGAGGTGACCAGCCACCCTTTGTGCATGTGACTTCCCCATCTTCATGTTCAGTCTGATAGTCATCATTGCAGATATATTTAACTCTTTCACCCTCCTTGTGAATGTTTTGGCTACTTGAGAAATAACCATTTTCCAGGCGTCTGACTTGACATGTTTCTAAAGAAGGAAGGTAAGTACCTTTAACCACAGTACATTTGACAGCAAGAAGCCAGGTAAATTAATTCTTAGGAACACAGCAAAAAAACGGCCCTCTTCTGTAGCCTTCAACCCCGGAAGACATTCACGTTCAAACTGGAATGAAAGCATGTTTTGCTGCACTGCCTTAAGATTGACGAATCACATCGACAGGACTGCAAGTCACTACATAAGGTGCTATGAAGTGGTCTGTTAAGCAATATTGCTTACCTAGTTGCCCATAAGCAAGCTCAGCTAACTTCAGTGCATCTAGAGTCATGTACATGAGCTCTGGATAGTCGGCTCTTGTAAAAAATGCTGATGTCTGCCCTGAGTAATTTTCAGCACAAAGGAGATGGCTGAAGCAATATTACAGCTATAATACAAATACTATTACAGTCTGGGAGCAGTTCCAGGGGTCAACTAAAGCAGTTCTACTTTAACAAACTGTTCTTTGTTCCATCTTGTGCTCCATCAGCACAACTTCTGATGCACAGACCTTTGATAACTATGACAGAATTAAGCATATAATGGAAATGCACTTACTGAGGCATTTGGGCTCTGGAGACCAGCCTCTTTCAGAACAGACGATCCGAACCCAGTATCTTCCACTCGGAGTTGAATAACCAGTGTTGCAGTGGTAATCAGCGTGCTGCCCAAAACTCATTGGAAAGTAATAGCTTTTGTAGTACTCCAGTGAGTCAGATAACCTGCCATTTTCTATAGCGGGGTAATCACATGGTTTCTCTTGAAATAGAATTTAAGAGCAACAATATCAACACATGCATGACAAAATGCTCAAAGCACAATTCAGATTCATCATCATCAACTGAGTGTTTTCTGAAACTGACAGACACAAGGCTGTACAACTTGGCAGATCCTAAGGAGCGCAGGAATAATCACACTCTGCTTCTGGTTTCTTTGTCAGTGCTTATGCCTGTGTTGCTTCCCTCCAACTCCAATGGAACCAACAGAAATCCAACTAAATCACAGTATCACAGTATGTTAGAGATTGGAAGGGATCTCAAAAGATCATCTAGTCCAATCCCCCTGCTGGAGCAGGAACACCTAGATAAGGTTACACAGGAACGTGTTCAGGCGGGTTTTGAATGTCTCCAAAGAAGGAGATTCCACAACCTCCCTGGGCAGCCTGTTCCAGTGTTCCGTCACCCTCACTGAGAAGAAGTTTCTTCTCAGGTTTATGTGGAACCTCTTGTGCTCCAATTTGTACCCATTACCCCTTGTCCTTTCATTGTTTGCCACTGAGAAGAGCCTGGCTCCATCCTCGTGACACTCCCCCTTTATATATTTATATACACTAATAAGGTCACCCCTCAATCTCCTCTTCTCCAAACTATAGAGACCCAGCTCCCTCAGTCTTTCCTCATAAGGGAGATGCTCCACTCCCTTAATCATCTTAGTTGCCCTGCGCTGGACTCTCTCCAGCAGGTCCCTGTCCTTCTTAAACTGAGGGGCCCAGAACTGGACACAATATTCCAGATGAGGTCTCACCAGGGCAGAGTAGAGGGGAAGGAGGACCTCTCTCGACCTACTAACCACCCCCCTTCTAATACACCCCAGGATGCCATTGGCCTTCTTGGCCACAAGGGCACAGTGTCGGCTCATGGTCACCCTGTCGTCCACCAGGACCCCCAGGTCCCTCTCCCCTACACTGCTCTCTAACAGGTCGTTCCCCAGCCTATACTGGAACCTGGGGTTGTTCCTGCCCAGATGCAGGACTCTACACTTTCCCTTGTTATATTTCATCAAGTTATTCCCCGCCCAACTCTCCAGCCTGTCCAGGTCCCTCTGGATGGCAGCACAGCCTTCTGGCGTGTCGGCCACCCCTCCCAGCTTAGTGTCATCAGCAAACTTGCTGATAGTGCACTCAATTCCCTCATCTAAATCGTTGATGAATATATTAAATAATACTGGTCCCAGTACCGACCCTTGAGGCACTCCACTAGATACAGGCCTCCAACTAGACTCTGCCCCATAGACTACAACTCTCTGGCTTCTCTCCTTCAGCCAGTTCACAGTCCACCTCACTACCCGATCATCCAGACCACACTTCGTCAATTTAGCCGCAAGGATGCTGTGGGAGACCGTGTCAAACGCTTTGCTGAAGTCAAGGTAGACCACATCCACCGCTCTGCCATCATCCATCCACCGTGTTATTTCCTCATAAAATCTAAGTATTTATTTTATATGGTGAGATGGTGCTGTCTTTGTAGAGTGTCTCAACTAAATTTACTATACTGACCATGATGGCAGCCCAGACAGCTAGCTCACATATACACACTGAACAGTAGATTCTTAAAATTGAGATGACTCCTGTCACCACTGTCATTTGTAACTTTTGGGATCCTGCACCAAAAGTTCTTCCTAGCTCTTCTCTTCATTTTTATTTTAAAACTGTAGTGTCTTTCTTTCGTTGTCTCATTTCCTCAAAGTAACTGACCTTTTTCAGGGACAAGTCAAGGATAGGAGGGGAAGATTCCCAGAAGGTTTCATTCAAGTTTACAAGGGTGCCCTACTTGGGCATGGCAAGTAGTTTCCTCTGGAAGCCAAAGCCTTCATGCTGGGGCAGGGGAGATCACCCACAGGACAGACCATTCAATAATGAGTGGTTTCAGAATGGCACCTGAGTTTTAGAACCCACAAACATATAGAGAAAAGTTTAATACAGATACTAACTGCACGTCTTTGGGAGTAACTCAAATAATCTTATCCACGGGTTCATTCACAAGACAGATTTCAGCAGGGTTTCTTTCAGATTCTAAGTTTTCCTCTTATTTTTAGGGACCAAAGATCAATGAGTGATAGCTCATTAATTATCAAATTACTTCCTGATTTAGTTATTTAGTCATTAATACTGTGGCTACTGGGCAAAACTATCACTGTAGTTAAGGGATGTTTAAGCCAAGAAAGAACTCATCAACAATCAAGAATATCATGCTTTGTTATTTGACAGGCTATAATAGGTAGAATAAAACTGTGATTGTTCGTAATATACCAACATACAACAGCAAGTAAAAGTCTAAAACTGTGATAAGTGTGATGAAAGATACCTTTCAAACATTATCTATGTTCTATTTTGGTCTGGATGCTTTAACACTCACTATGTTCTCTTACCTTAACTGGCATGCTACTTCTCAGGTGGGCCATAAACCTTCCTGACAGGGAGCTGACTATAGCATGTTTTAAAACATACTTTACAAATACAGTAATAGATAATACCTGTGTTTATAACATAATGTAAATGTAGATTATATCCTTGTTTCTGCAGCTGATTTTTCCACCAAAAAATGCAGCTTTACATAGCAAAGAAGCACAATGAATAAGCAGCTCTTTTCTCATGCTTCTTCAGTTTTAATCTTTACCTCCTTTTTACTGAAGTACTTCCAACAATGTACGCATTGAGTCTTCGTTCATGAGAGCTACTTACGGACACAGCCTGGATCAGGAATCCAGCCATTCTTGGTGCATTCAGCTGTGCTTCTGCCGGTCAATGTTTTAAAATGATACCCAGGATTACACTGTATTGTGATTATATCACCTTCTCTGTAGTTGTCTCCTTGAGGTCTAAAGTCCCCATTTGGAATTCTTGGGGGAGAGCATGTAATTTCTAAATAAAAAGAGAAAAAATGGTTGCTAATTTGAAGAACATGTTTATACTTACTGCATAAGTTCTTATTTGCATAGTATATTGACCATAACTGCATAAAATTGTTAAAAAGATGTTTCTTAGGGCAAAAAAAGGTTACATTTCTCTCCCACTCTTAGAAACGTACAGTGCTGTAAAAGGAGACTGACAGCTGTTACCAATGTAGTGCTAATTAGAAGATTAAAACTTAACTGCAAAGAGAATGGTTTGAGCAAGAACTAGACATGATCAAACTGAATTTGATTCATCTTTTCCAGAAGGTCATTCCACAGCTGGAGCTCAAAATGACCTATGCTGGGCTCACTCACAGCTCTCCAGGGTTGGTTAATGAACACTGTCCCAGAGGAGGACAGGTTCATTGACAAGTTGTAAATGGAGAAATAACTGTACTTCTAAAATAAGAACTGATCCTTCAAAGGGTGTGTGATTAAGATTAAGGTCTTGCACTGACACTGGAAGTATTTTGACAACTGAGAAAATATGGGAATGCTATTGTAAAAAGCCCATGGTATCTTTATGCTTGGAGAAGCCAAGAAAGTGTATTATTTCTAAAACAGAGCTTCAAAAATATCACTAACACACTCAGGGCTGGGAAGGAATGACCATAAAGTAACTACAGGTTGGTCTTACTGTGGAGTGAAGGTGAGTGAATCAGCTGCATGCATGTACTGCTGAATCATCTAGGTTCAGCGACAAGTCCGGTAGGATCCAGAACCACTGTCTGAATATGCCCCAAGTATCTTTGCCCACTGTATCAGTGCCTGGGAGAATGTTTTATTTGGCACTTCCCAAGAGCAGCATGTTGCTAAATTGTAGGCAATGCATATTAATTAATATAATCGCTAATCTTGATGCAGAAAGGTCAAGAACTGAGTAGGCACTATGACTACTTTATATTTCTAAAGGAGTCTTCCTGGAAGAGGTCCCAGGAAGGTGGGTGGCAGACAACAGCCTACAACATTGCTCTGTTGCCAACATTTTTCTTTCCAGTTTCTAACATTTGGCAATTCCTTGAAGAGAATTCAAGCCACAACTGATTTCCCCCACATTTACATCAAATTGTTTCAACTGGGACACAACATTTCTCTTTGTGGGATTTGGAGAGTGATTTTAATATAGTCTTTAAGTTCTGTAGTTGAATGAATATAAAGAAAGATCCATAAGCCAGAGGGATGATGCCCAACAAGACTAGCCTCAGAAATTCTGGATTTTTCATCTTAAACAAGTAAGTGCAAGTAAGTGCTTGGAAGACATTTGAGAGTTAGAAAGCAAGGAGGAGTTTCAGCTGTGTGAATATATGTATTTGTAGAGATTCTCAGACAATTTCTGATGGGAAGTTTCAACACCATGGATAATGTGGTTGTGCAACTGTAGCTCTGATGACGTTAAACAAATTGCTATCTTCAGTGATGGACAGTGGCAGGATTCATGCATACCGTGTTACTTTGGTCTCCATTTATACATCATTTCATGTCCACGGTTCTTAGGGTTAATGAATTATTATATTGTACAGAGTTCTTGACATAACAGCTGTGTAGAAAGTTTTCAGCTTTATGTACAATCTAGCACTACAATTCCAATGTAATTTTTAGTTTATGCACTTACGGTCATCAATGGAGTACTTATGTTCTGAAATTGGGCTGCTTCACATTTGCTTGAACTCCTATGGAAATGGCCATGTCAACTTCAGAGTATTTCTACAACACTTACCTTACTATTTCCGAACAACTCCGGAAAGGCAGTTTATAAACTTAACCCAGGATTTTCATTCGAAAGATAATTTGAAGGATACTTTTGTAATTTCCTGTCATTTCTGAGAGGTTGCACCGTACACTAACAGTTTCTTACTGAAGCTCCATCAGTGAAATAAGGATAATTTCTGAATTGTTCTTTGGTTACAACTAGTTGATCAGAGCTAGTAGTCTGGAAATGTAAAGAATGGATATAATAACTAGCAGCCAGGTGCTCAGTCTGCTCACACTACAGTAAGACTCATCAGGACACTCAGACAAAATGCGGAGGCCAGTTCAGTAGCTCAGACAAACATCCATTTGTTCATACCGGGCGAGATGCTGACTGCTGATTCAGAAGTACGTCATCAAGCTAAGACTATTATTTTCCCAAGGTGGTGTTTAAGCCCAGCTGGTAACTCAGCACCATGCAGCCGGTCGCTCACACCCCCTTGGCCAACTTCCCCCTCTGAGTGGGATGGGGAGGAGAACTGAAAGAATGTAAACCCCATGGGCTGAGATAAGAACAGTCCAATACATACAGTATAATACAAAAGTAGTGCTACTAATAATAATGATAAGGGAAATAACAGAGTGAGAGGATATAAAACTAAAAGGGGAAAGGAAAAAATCCTCAATAAACAGCAGTGATGCATAATACAACTGCTCATCACCTGCTGACTGACACCCAGACCAACCCGAGCAGGGATCTATCCTTCTGGACATGATATGCTGTGGTACAGAATATCCCTTTGGCTACTTTGAGTTAGGTGTCCTGCCTCTGCTTCTTCCAGTCTTCTTATACCCCTCCTCACTGGATGAGCATGAGAGGCTGTTCATGTTACACACACTTTAAAAATGTTGAGACTGTATATGAAGACAACAGGACTTTAAAACCCACACTGCTTCTCTAAGAAGTTAGTTTCAAGTGTTAATTTTCCCATGCCACTAAAGATTTCAGATTCCCTTTGTAGTTTGGATTTCTCTGGCATTAACACCTATTTTTTCCTGCTTGCTTAATTATTCTTTTTAGTGTCTGATTTTTCTACTCCTTGGATAAAAGGTTTTCAATTATATTTTGTAGAAGGCAAAGAGATTCAGCTTTTTCCTTCCCATTTTTTCCAAATTAGGATTATTTTTCCTGTATTCTTCCCACTAATTCTGAATCATATAAAAAAGGAATAAATTAACAACAGCTACTAATGCTGCATAAAGTATTTTAGCATCAGTCTCATTTATGCAGTATACTGGAGCAATTGTTGCTTTGTGGACCTATTTAACTACACACAAGTAAATAAAAAAAAAAAATGAATTAACTGGTTTTGCTACTGCTTTCCATGGAAAACTCTTACCTAGTTGTTTGGTCTCTTTACCACTTAACACTTAATCCTTCTGGATCTCCATGGGATATTGGTCAGATGTGGACGGATTTCTTTTATTATGAATAAACTAACTTTTGTCATTACTAATCTCTGTAATTACTTCCAAACACAAAAAAAGTGCCAAATAAGTAACTTTCGGTAAGGTATACCAGTGCAATAGGGGGTTGGATTCCATCCTGCTGCTGTACATCGTGCATCTGCTCTTTCACCGTATCTGTATCCTTTATCACAGGCAAACTGTAGTTGTTCAGTTTCCTTGTAAGATGCCTTTGGAGATCGTACATATCCATGTGGAACTTTTGGCACATCACAGGTTATTTCTGAAGTTGAGAAAGACAATATTTTTGTTTGCTTCTATTTAATAAGATTAAAGGAATAAAATTCAGGCTTGTTTGGGTTTGTTTTTGTGGTGTTTTTTTTTCACTTAACTTCAAAAAAAGTTTGCATTTTGAAACTGTTTGAATCTTATTTGAAAACTCTTCAGTGACCTGACTGGGTGCCGGGTAGAAAGTGTGGCACTGCACAGCATTAATAACAAATTGGCTTGTGAATCATATTTCAAGGCTTTGCTTTGGATTTTAATGGATCTCAGAATCAGTATGTAAGGCAGGGGACATTCTGAACTAAGTAACTAGTCTGCTGAAATTTAGGAATTTCACTTTTTCAGATCATTTCATTTCCTTGTAATTTCCAGCAAATCTAAAGCTCTCTCATAGCCAGTTGACTATCAGCTAAATCATGGCATTAATACGAAGAAGGAATTTAACTATATTCTGCAAAAGTTACTAACAATTGTGTTTATTCCTACTTTATGCTATTCAAATTCCAATAAATGGGGGTTTCAAAGCAGCAAAATGAAGCACTGAAAGTTTGAACAAACCATACATGTATCTGACATCCTGATATGTGTACTCTACTCTTCTAAACACACGCTTCCCAATTAGATAATATATAAATAGTTTAAGAAACTTGAAGGACTGAATATTTAAGTCTTCGTTACCATTTGCTTCCTAGGATTCATTCTTAAATATTGACAATCCAATCTCACACAACCTAGAGTCTAGAGAAGAGAGCTTGAGGAGGAGGGAGGATCTTATTTACATGTGTTAATTCCTGCCTGTGGTGGGGCAGGCAGAAGTAAAGATGATGAAGTAATTGGCACCCAGTGACAAGATGAGAACTAGTGGGCAGAAATGACAGTAGGAAATGATACTTAAATGTAAGAAAAAACGGTTTTACTTAACAGTGGTCAAACATTGGAATGTGTTACCCAAGAGAGGCTGTGGAGTCTCCATCCTTGGACATGCTCAAAAGCTGACTGGACATGGTCTTGAGCAACTTGCCCTAGCTAATTGCTTTCCTTCCAACCTCCCGTATTCTGTGATTCCATTAAAACTAAACATGAGTTAACCTTCTAACTTCCCAAAAGGGATTAGTCTGAAGGAAAACAAAATCTGTCATGATTTCTTTGTATTTTATATGGGTGAATGAAAACCATACTCACTTTTTAAACTTGGTTCACATAGATTCAAATTGTTTGTAATTACTTTGGTTAAATCAACACTGAAGTGATTGACTCTTATGTAGACATACCAAAGCTATTTTCAAAGAACCTGCAGCCTGGTAAAACATACAGCTTGTAGTGAAAATGTGGAACAAACAGATGGTCCACTATGAATATTTTAGCATCCAATATTCTCTAATTTCTCTTTCTTATCCTACTTCTACTGCACATATGCAGTGGAGATTGTTTACAGCCAAGCAAGGCTTAATTGATGTAAAATAAAGTAAAAGCTTTGTAGTTTCCCATATAGTAACCAATCCTTACAAATCTGTGAGAACAAAGCTTCTTAATTAGAGATAATAAATAGTGTCTTATTTACCTTGGCACTGAGGCACATCACTATTCCATTTTCCGTTAGAAGAGCAAATGATTTCTTTAGATCCAACAAGCTTGTATTTTGTATTACATTCAAATTTTACAACCTGGCCAAAAGAATATTCTTGGCCAAGCTCAAATGCACCAGTCGTAATTATTCTTCCATTTTCTGGTGCTTGTACAGGTAAACACTTTGCCACTGGAAAATAAAACAAAGTGAAACAAAAGGAAAAAAACCCAGCCATTTTGAGGTCTATTCTATAAAATAAATTCTCAGACAAAGAAGTTAAAATACAGAAAACTCATTTTAATTTCCTTACACATTTTAGAAATATACACTCTTGTTATGTATTCAGATACTATTCGCAACAGATATAGTACAAAACCCTAAGGAAAAAGACAGACTGACACAGAAGGAAGCTTGCAGACAGGATCTCATCAATCCTCTTCTCTGCCCTTGAAGGTTAAAGACAGCACCCAATGAACTAGGTGACCTCCTAAGGTTTTATGCAATCTAAATTATTCTATGGGCCTATGAATTTTATGGATGGTTAGATAAGCCTTGACTGACATTTAGGGCCATTAAACTTTGTCAAAATAGGTTAATTTAACAGAACAATCATGTTACCAAAACAATTACATATTATCAGAACATCATATTACCAAAGTAAATAATATCAGCCATGAACTTAGACCTCTTATCATCTCCTAATTTTGTAACTGCGGAAAAAGGAAGAATTAAAATGTCACTAGACATTTCTTATAAGGGGGAAATGTCTATCAAATCTCATTCTTAAATGCTCACATGGATATCACTGAGCAAGTGGCTGTTTTTTGTCTACCATAGCTTCCACTTTGTGACAGCATTTGCCATCTTATAAGTCTATGAGCCTTTTCTGTGAGCTCACATTTTATCTTCCACTTTCCTCACAATTAGGACATTATACAAACTCCTCAATCATGAAAGAAAAATCTTATGAGGGCTTTGAAATTGCAGTTTCTTGGTGACACATGACAAAAAATGTTGGAAATCATTGCTCTGCACCGTGCAGAGATCTGCATGCCTAAAACTGAGGAGATTCAAAATCCATTAAACTAAATGTGCAGTATCTGAGACCAAGGAAATATGAAAACAAAGACTTATCAGTTCTTACTGAAGTTCTTCCATGGTATGCTAATAGGAGGAACTTACAATAAAATCCTAATGGCTAGGATATTTGCAGAGGTGGAGGAGAAAGCTAGCTAAAACACACACATCCTTTCACATACATCCAAAATGCCTCATCCCAATTGTCTTTTGTAACCATGTTCTGTAGGCATCTACTCCATCAGGGCCTTTAGATGAGGCAGAGCTTTCAGGCAGTCTGGGGTGACAAGAGTCTATTTTGTGAATGCTTTTCAATAAAAGCTCGAGTGGTTATTGGACTCAAATGGCTGAGCAGTAATTGTGACTTTCATTGCTGTACAACATTGCTGTACAACAATTGAATTAATACTAGTAGAGAGATCATAGACTAGTTCTAGACAGTATCAGATAGATAAACAGACAGCTTGCTAAAGAGCTAAATATCAAACTTCATTTACCTTCACAGTGAGGGATGTCATTGCTCCATCCATCTGCCTGACATTCACGGTAATTTCTCTGGCTGAGCATCCAGTACCTTACCGAATAAAAAGTAAGCAATGCTAAAATACTGTCTCTTTATGTGACAGGAACAGCAGTGCTGCTGGTTTTGAAGCAAACAATGTAGGTTTCATATGCTCTAGCACAGATTAACCAAAACTGAGAAGTTTTTCAGATGGCTCCTTCCTTATTTTCCGTATTTTAATTGCTTATGGCAAAAAGTAATAATAAAAAAATAATCTGGAAGTAGGAAGTAATCAGTATAATGGCTTCTTCATTACAGAGATAGCAAGCTTTGGCTACAGAACAAATAACCTAGGGATAATTTACATGATCAATGGCAAGCAGGGTAAAATTCCTGTTGTTTGTGCTCTAGTATGACTGAAAGCCATGCGATAGCATCAAAATAGGACTTAATCCAAACCATATGCATCTCATGCTTTGGTAAGCTAGTACTATTTTAGGTTTGAAGACAACATGGCCACAATGCTGTGGCTTCTGCCTTCTCTGAACTGTAGCTAGAGGAAGCACTGTTAGTCAGAAAGGTCAGTGAAGAATGGGCTGAAATTATGGGATTAAGAAGACTATTGATTTTGGATTTTTTTTCTGTTGAATTCTGACTAGATTCCAGAAGTGCAAAGACTACAAAAGCAAGGTTAAACTGCCATAGCTGGTTTACATTTCAAGAATTAAAAATCCAGCCCCAAGCATCCTTAACTAAGCACTATATTATGTTTTTGCCTTATTGCCGTTTTCATTGGAGAAGATGAATAAAGGAGGAAGCAGCCAGTGAAGACATTAGTGAGTCTACAGAAATGTCTTCCTTCAAACATGTTTTACAATGCATTCTTCTTCAAAATAAAAATAAAATCATTTAAGCAGGACTGGTAAGTTGTGGTTCTAAATATGAGACTAATGTCTTTGCTAACATAACTGCGTCATAACTGCCTGCTGAAAGCACTGCTTCCAGCACACAAAGCTGCATTTCTGTCTGAACTGGCTGGCTGGTGCAGACATGAGGCAGCCTTACAGAGAGATCACTATTTTTGTTTTGTACTCAGACAGCCATGATTTCAAGTTAGCTACAGCTTTAAATACTTTAAACACTTTAGACACTCTGGCTGACAGCTTCAGGTGCATGAGTTCGGTTACTCCAATAGCACCAGGCATAAAAGAATGAGTTTTATTTAGCACCACCGTAATTGCAGAAATTTAAACAATAATCAAGTATTAAGTTGCAGCTGCATTACAGACAATTCTATAACTGAAACTATAATTAACATCACCTATTAACTCCCATGTATTAAGTTAAATAAGTATTACCCATCATTACATCTGTACTCCACTCTGGCACCAAATACAAATTCACTTCCACTGGTAAGTTCAAAGGAACCAAACTCAATATCTCCAGGATGTCCACAGGGCTTATCTGGTAAAAAAAACCAAACCAAACCAAAACCAACAACAATGACAACAACAAGCAAACAGAAGCAGCAGAAGAAAAACAAATTACTTACACCATATGTAGGAATGTGAAAGTGTGAAATACAGCACTTTCCTAGTAATTACTATTGAGTACAAGCCTTTCAAACATCAAGGAAGAGGTGTTTGCATAGATTCTAACCCTGCTCCAGTGGGATTCAGAGAAAACGGACAACCTCATGATCAATGTCACCGTCTAGTGCGGTTTATCTTGAAAGGGGAACATGATCACTTAATCTGTGGCACACCATCCCTTTTCTCCTTCAACCTGCACCTTGCCAGTGTCACCGTCTATTCACTTGGTGGCGGTATTTACTAAAAAGTATTACTAAAAGCAACCCCAAATTTAGTATAATTGGAAAGATCCTTGTTCAATGACTGGTATACAATTACATGTAAAACTGAGAAGATCTAAAAGAAACTAAGTAACAACTTCATTTATTTTTACTCATGGTTTATATCTCTGTTTGGAGAAGAGGAGACTGAGGGGTGACCTTATTAGTGTATATAAATATATAAAGGGGGAGTGTCACGAGGATGGAGCCAGGCTCTTCTCAGTGGCAAACAATGAAAGGACAAGGGGAAATGGGTACAAACTGGAACACAAGAGGTTCCACTTAAACTAGAGAAGAAACTTCTTCTCAGTGAGGGTGACGGAACACTGGAACAGGCTGCCCAGGGAGGTTGTGGAGTCTCCTTCTCTGGAGACATTCAAAACCCACCTGGACACGTTCCTGTGTAACCTTATCTAGGTGTTCCTGCTCCAGCAGGGGGATTGGACTAGATGATCTTTTGAGGTCCCTTCCAATCTCTACCATACTGTGATACTGTGATACTGTGACACCTGGGACTTAAATTTATATTATCAACCCAAACAGTATATTCTACTAGTGCACATTTTGTATGTCAGATATGCAAGAAAAACTCACGTGTCTAAAACTTCTTTGTGTGTAAATTCCAAAAATGTTTCCTTATGCATACAAACTTTTTCAGACGATATTTTAAAGGATGCTGAAATAAGTTAGTTACAGCCAAGGATACAATGGCAATTTCATATTGATATCACTGGCAAGGAATGTGAAATGTCAAGTCAAATGGTTGCATGTATTTTGCATATACTGACTTCTGCATTCTGTCGCTGGGGGGAGTTGCTTCCATTCTCCATCATCACACTCAAATACAATTCGTCCAAGTTTTATATATCCAGGCCGACATCCGTATGTTACTTTAGTACCATGTGGATAGGGAGGCTTGTCCCACCTTTCAGTAGGCACTTCTTTAATCCTCCTAGGTGGGGGTTCATTGCAAGCTAAAAATTGTAAACAAAAAACATTGGTGACTGAAGCACATGCTACAAACACCAGAATAATTTTACAGTAGAAAACGTAGCAAGAAATCCTGGGAACATTTGTGATCAAATGAGCATGTTTTCTACTTAATCTAACAAAACAAGAAACGGCCAAGAATCCATATATTGTAGAAATATGAAGTCACATTTAGGACACAAAAATAGTCAAGCAAGTTCCAAGAAACCACATGGGAAAGTCATAATTCATAAAATAGATTTTAGTGAAAAAAACCGAGATGAGATGACTACCCTGGTTCTAACCACAGACATCCTTTACACTTCCATCTGCAGGAGTCCCTCTGCCTGTCCTTCTATTGTTACAGGGAACAATTCTGTGCACTCTGTAGATTCCTTTCAAGCTTCTGTTTTCTTCTGCAGCCACCACCATCCTTACTGACATTAACTCCATGTGCCATTTGATCAAGCTCTGCCAAAGCCCCCCTCAGCTTTACATGCCTGTTTTCTTTCTAAGCTGAGACCACCTGATATTCCAAAACCTCATTCCTCCTGTCCATGAGTTACTTGATACACGATGCGATTAATTCTGGGTATTCACTTTGACCTTCATTAGCTTCAAAATATTTTGACTCAGTTTGGGAAGGGGATGTTGTCGTCTGATATTTCCCATTAGTCCAATCCTATACAGTCCTTCCCCAAAAGCACTTTCCTGGGACTTCTTCAGTGTCCATGAAATGTACAGCCAAGTCCATATGAGTTACAAGAAATAAACCTGAATTAATTTTATTAAGAAGTTCCTCAACAGTTTGAGGATGAGAAAAAACAAACTAAGGGGGAAAGAAACAAATGTTGGGAAGCTGTTAATGAAAGACTAAATGATCTTTGGTAAGAAACACTGTTTTATTGTTTTGTTTATAACAGTTGACCTAATTTCAGTGACTAACTCTCTGTGCTTGAGTGACTGAAATGCATTTATTTTAAAGACTGAAGCTTTACCCAGAATAATAGAGTCTGGACAGTCTAGTGAATCAGATGTGGTGAAGTTTGGTTTACATCTGAACATGAAAGATGAGAATTCATCAAGAATAAATGAAAGAACCTCTGAGAAATGCAGCCCTGGAAAAGAAATGAAACCTGTATAGAAATATATATATATATATATATTTCTATATTCTATATAAATATAGAATATATAAATAAATTCTATACAAATATAGAATATAGAAACTGTATAGAAAATAAATATCGACCAGGGAAGGATATTTCTTAGTTAGTAAATTTACCACCTGGTAGAGAGCTGGCACAAAGGTCCTCTCACCAGCTTGGTTGTAAAGCCAGAGTTTGAGAAAGCAGCAATACTCTCACTGAAGCTTTCCTATGGATTGTTCAGATGCTGCCTCAAAGTGGGACTACAGAAAAAATCTTTAGGATCTTTCCTCATGCAAGGGGTGTGGAGTTATGGCCTGCTGACCTAAACTGTAGAAATCACAACCAGATTAAGGAGCTGTGATTTCTAATACAATGTGAGCAGATTAAAGAGTTATTCTTCCGCATCGAAGTGTGGATGTGGATTTTACTTTAGTTGTGCAAAGACATCCCCTTGAACACTCACTGTTGTTATTCCAGTCAGGGAAATAACAACCAAATTAGAAGCACACTTTTAGAAAATTGTTTAAAGATCAAGAAAAAAAGCTGCAGAATTGTAACTGTTCTGCAGCTAGGGCCTTTTGGAGAAATATAAAGAGTGATAATTGTGAGATCCAGTAACTTTATTTTGGCTGCCTTAAGTAGCCAGAAGAAGCAGAGAAGCTTTGATGATACTGCTGAGGTGTTAACAGAAGGGTATGCTCGCACATTCAGGTCCTTTCCAACTACTTTGATAACTACTCTCCCTCCTAAGAGTAACAGCTAAGTAAAGGTTATAGCTCCTGTCCACTAGAGGGTGCTGCTATACTATCGAAAAGGGCAGGGGGGGAGCTCTGCCTTAGCAGGGTTAAGACTCGCTCACCTTCTAATGAGTGAACTGAACAGGACTACTACGCTAGCTAGTTCTGCCTTTCAAATGTGTCAAAAATAGTTAGTTTCATTAAAAAAAAAAAAAACAGCACAGTTTTTTGTAATAGTGAGAAAGGAAATTTTCTAATTCTACATATTTTTCTTTACAATGTGTGCTTTCAGTTTTCAAGCTCAGAAAGCACGCTCTTATGCGATTTAAAAATGAAGTTGTTTAGCACAAGGAGAGCTTCTCTTTTCTTCACTTCTGAGTTTTATCATATTTTTATTATCTGTTGTGCAGAATGGTGCCGTCTAACTCCTTTTTCACATAGGGGAAAAAAAAAAAAGGTGTGAAAAATAATTGCCTTAGTCTCTTCATCATTACTCAGACATGCATCTTTCTGGGTTTTATTTCAGCTCTCAGATTGCCCGTTACCACTCCCGCCCTGGTGTCAAACCATGTTACACCATGTTACCATAAGGTGTTACAGTGTGTACATACGTTTCTGACTACAGCTAATTACTCTTTTTTTAAAGCAGTTTCTAAGTAGCTTGAAAAGAAAAAACTTGCTGACAGGATGTACTTCTAAACTGTATTAATTACATCACGCACTTTGCCATGTGCACTCACCAAAACTGGGAGGGTTGTATTTTTATATTGGAAAGCATGCACCAAATGCATACCTTCAAGTTCTTTAGTGAGAGACCAGGAGATCTGGAATTAATCACTATAAATATGTGACTTGAACACAGTTAGAAATGCCTATAGCTCAAGCTGCTTTCTTGCTGTCATTATGCTGGTAGCAACTTCCATAACATCACGCAAAACTATGAATTCAGGTAGAAGTACTTTTCAACTCTTATGCAAAAACCCAGCTCTTGAACAACTCACGTAGACATTCAACATAACACTTGAACCAAGAACCCTGGTAATACTTGTCTCAGATAAATCAGATATTGCTACATTCACATTCCTTTGCAGTCTCTCTGATCTAAAGGAAGCACTGTGAAAAGGAAGTGCAAATTCAGGCAAACTTTCATTTCAGGTTTCAGGACTTTTCTGGACATTTTTCCAAAGAAATTAGACTTCGTTAGTTGCTTTGGAACAGTATTATTATAAGTATACATAAAAAACGTGATACATTTCAGTTTTTTAAAAAACATGATACATTTTTCAGTTTTTCAAAGTAAAGTCAATCAGATTGTTTTGATTAATAAGGTCTTCATCAACCTCACCTAAAATTAAAACCAACCTGAAGCAAGCAAAGACACACCAGCTCAAAACCACAAAACACCTTTCCCCAACAGGATATGTACAGAAACCCAGATAGAAGGCAAAGAAAAAAGGAGTAATTTCTAAACATACATTAAACAATATAAGCACAGCATCAAGAAAAAATAAATTCAACAGAGAAGCAGAAAATACCACAGGCCTCTGAAAGGATCCCAGAATACTAGCTACCTCTTTAAACATGAATGAAAGCATAACTGTATACATTTATCTACCTCATTTAATAGATTCAAACCAGTCTGTCGTTCAACAGATATTTTGCAAGCTTTTCAGTCAATTTTGCAATTATTCCTCTTTCTGAGATGATTTTACAGATTCTTCCAGGCAGAAAGAAATGCTTACTTATTGAATATTTTCTGTTTTGATCTACCAGCTCTTTACAGGGTTTAGATGCTAAAATTAATAACAAATGAGTTGTCTTGCTCCAGTTTATAAGGATTACAACCCTTAAAAAGTTGTGCAACAAATTAATAACAGTAGTTATAAAAAAAAAAGGTGAAATAACACCTATCACAAGATACTAAGTACTAAAGGTGCTAAATACTGGCAGAAAATATCTCAATTATTGTAGCCAGCAGTTCATTAAACAGCTACAATGCAAACATTATATTTACATATTTAGTTACCATCTTCGCGTACACTTTAAGAAAGGGTTGAGTTTTATTCTCCACATTAAAGCTTACCTCTTTCTGCAGTACAATATATCCAGCATAAGACCAAAGCTGTGTAGCCCAGGAATGACATCCTAGAGATTCAGAAACTCAAACAGATTTAATATCTTTGCCTACTTGTTTGGATTACTTTGTGTTATTTCCAATCATTTTCCTCACTAACTGTTCCAGGGGCTGACCTTGCAGAGCATTTATACTCTGGTTTCAGCAGTCACTTCCCCTAATCCTCTTGCAACACACAAATGTTTCTTTTTTTTCCCCTCCCTCTCCAAACTTTGCAAATGAATAAATAAACAAATGCCCAAAAGGCAGTTTTGGGTGACATAGTCCTTCCCTCTGCTCTGCTTGATTGGACATCTTCCCTCGTTTTGTTTTTTCCAGATTAATCCATTCCATCCTCAGATAAGCTCGTTTCTCTTCGTATCCCAAGGAAGCTGCACAAATAAAGTATTTTGTGATTCCTCGTCTTACACGCTTAGTTGAAAACCCGAAACTCATGTTAAATGTGCATAAAAATTAACTTTATTATATGCATATCATTCAAGATCTGTGTCGAAAGCACTTGAAATAAAAAGCAGGCAGCAGAAATCCACAGTGGCTTACTAACCCCTGCTTCTTGTGTAAGAGCGATGGAAATGTACTTGATCAAATACTTGATAAAATAAACTTAGGTGATGTTGAAGCACTTGTTTCGGTATCACATGAGAAATTATGAGATGGAGAAGATGTGAATGAATTGCAAGATGGGTAATGAAATATCCAAAGAAAAGTAATAAAGGTTGTGGTAAAAGAAGAACAGTATGGCAATCTGTGTTAACAGAGGAACTCCTCAAGGATTCAGGTAAGCAACAGTCTTATCAATATTTTCATTAAATGTCTTGGCTTTATAAGAAGTGCACTCCAGTGGAAAAGTGGATCACATGAAGAGAATTATTTGATACTGAGAATCAGGAAAAAACAATTTAAGAGTGCAAAGTGCTCTTGGGATGTGGACATAAAACAGCTGCATACCAGATACCCCATAGTAGTGATCTCTTACTAGCATGGAGCACAGATTGATTTGTATACACTCCCAGAAGATCACATAACATACTCTTAAAATCACCAGCTTAGTCTACTGATAAAGGATAAAAACCAGCGTGTTCAGACAACAGAACTCAACTCAAATCTGAATTCCAAAGCAGTTAAAACTTTGTTCTCAAAATGCAGCTAGAGTAATTTTAAATGACCTCAGCGAAAACTGGTATTCAGCTGTTTCATCCACAAGAACTCTTCTAGAGAGCATAAAGTCTCTTCCTTTCCCTTCCCCTTTTTCTTGCTGGCGACTTCTATGGGGAGAATGAACTCCGTGGCCTCTGACGATCGGTCTGCATGAAATTGCACTTACTGTTGCATACCTGGTCAGTAAAATGATACTTCTTTGTACCTGCCTAAGTTGAGTTTTAACAAAGCTCCACACAGAACTTCACTGCCCAAACCTTCAGTTCCTTTTGCTCTGTGGTAGAGAACTGTGTGCTGCTGCAGACAGAAGTGCTCTCACTGCATCAACAATCCCACTTGTCTTCTCTGCACCAGTCTTACTGAACTACCATACATGCATGCTTTTACCTGCTTCTGTACCAGTGCATTGCTGGATGCAAAAGATGGTTTTCTTGCAGCGGTGAGGAACTTAGGATGGTCCAACTTTGTCACAGCAGCGGTACTACCTGCTTTTCAAATGTAGCATGACACTGCTGCTTTTCAATTCCTTAACCACTGTGGGAAGCTTGGAAATCAGGAAAAACACTGAGGCGGAACACTGGGAGGCACTCAGATTCCAACCCAGAGGCAGTGACTCAAACCAATTAGCTGTAAAACTCCATGCTGCAGGCATGGGTTTCAAAATTTCTCCAACTTCAAGTGTTGAATCTTTTGATATCAGTGGTTCAGGCTTTACCAAAACTGCTTTTGGGTTATTAAACCACTTGCCAAACCATAATGGGCCTGAAACGCAGTCAAAGATACCTTCCGCTACAGCTAAACCAAAACTGGGACTGAATTGAAAATGTACCAATAAATTTCCTGACTGCTCTCTATGAATATGGCAGTGTTGAAACTACAACATCAGCACACAACTGCAGATAGATATGAACTTCCTACAAATAAATTCAAGCTGAAAATTACAAGACTCACCGAACCTAGTGAGATTTTGACGTAATCTTTGCACAGGTGTAATATAGGCCTATGCAAAGAAACCATCTTCAATCATAAAGCAAGGGACTGGACTCAGTCTTTTTCCAATCTTGTATTTGTGATCTTAAAGTCATTGATTAAACCTACCCTAACTAAACGGAAATAAAGTCAGGAACTTAATGAATCACAGCATCATAGAATCATCACCAGACATATTTCTAAATGACCTTTCTTCACGAGTGCCCCAAAGTTCTAACCACGCACACAGAAACTATGCACCCACCCACCCACAGTTATACACACAGTCCTCCTCTCACACATACCTTCTGTAGGAGATGTGGGTGCTCAATGTGTACCTGTGCTGCACCCTACAACCTGCTAAGGCATCCCCTAGGGAGAAAGCAGCACAAACTCACAAACCACCAGTTGTGGGTCCCTACCTATTGCACCCTGCACTGTCACTGCCTGAGCTGGGTGCTGGCAGAGTCACACAGGGAGAATGCCCTGCTCTGCCTGGCCCAGCCAGAGGTTTTGATGCCAATAGGTGAACATGCAGCAGTGTCCAACACAACTCCTCTGGTTTTGACTGCTTGTTCTGTTCTCCCTGTTCTCCCTGCTATTACAAAGTTTCATTTGTCCCTTCCATTTCTTTCCAACCTGGCACCCTTGCTTCAACACTCTGTAGTGCTGTGGTTACTGTTTAATCTGGCTGGTGGTTGTCATCCTCTTCAATACGACCAGCTGCAGCATACGCATTCTCAGACAGTTTTGGATGCTTAAAATCACATTCCTACCTTAACAGCTGCTGTTGTCCAGGCCATTTTACCAAGGATGGGCCATGTGAGCACCACTGCAAACAGAAAGCAGTATTAGGAATTCTTTGAATATTCCTTCAGCTTCTTCCAACACAAATTAGATAACAGCATGCATTCAGGCATGTTCAGGGTTTTGCAGCAATGACAGGAGACAGATCGTGTCCAATTCTAAAAGTATTTCATACCACACTTCTTATAACTCTCCTGTTTAAACAAAATCTCCTTCTCCCACCTTTGTGCTCTGTACTCAAAAGCAAAGTTAAAATTACTTGAAAAGGTGTTCTTTGCAAAAAAAAAAAAAAAGATGCTCTCCTATATAAAAGCAGCTGTCAGTATATCTAGTTTCAAATGAAGTCCTCCTACTCACAGCCAAGTGGAGATAAGCTGAAAGGCAATTCAGAGGTTATCACCATTTCCTACCAGCTTGTTCTCCTCTGCTGCAGTGTTGCTATACCTCTTGTTCCTACAGTTTCTTTCCACGTCACCACTGGTCTGAGGACTGTGGTGTACCACGACCTTGGGTAGCCCTGAAGTGGATGCTGTTCCTTTTTGGATCTATGCTACGATGGTTTAGCATATAAGAACAAACATCAGGTCATACTGTATGCCCTGTGTCTGAGCGAGCCTTATAAGGATCATGCTTGCACTACAGAGTCATGCTCACGAGGCTATGGAAAACATGCCCTCTACCTACCAAGATTTCAGTTTCATTAGATACAATACAAAAAAAGCCCCCCAAATAACCAAAACCACCTCCATTTATTTCCTAATTTATTTATTTTTAATCCTTTCAGAGAAATTACAAATTTGGAAATTCCTCACATTTCTCCTTCTGCCTTAGCTTTGTAGCTTACAAGTGACCTTAAAACTCTGTTCTCACTTTGGGCTATTTCAGTCTGTTACTGTTTCTGAATCACTATCAAACCTTTCATGTCAGTGGAAGAGTCTGCTGCTGCGCAGCCTTTTAAAAAATAGGCACTAAGTGTACAGATAAGAGGACTCCAAGGGTATTTTTTCCCCCGAAATGTAAATAATTCCAAACATTGCAGCGCTGTACTCTGGCAGGTTTATCAGACAGTGACATGAAGGGGCACAAAATGAAAATGCAAAATATGCAATAGAAAGTAAGTAGGAGCATTAAAGACTCAAAGGTGTGTAAGAAGAGGAAGATTTGTTTAGAAATAAATGTTTCTTTTGAGAATAAAAATATGCATAGCCTTCTGGAGCTTGTGCTGCTGCTTGGAGAATATCATGATTAACAAGTTTGTAAGAGTTTCATTATCTATTAGTAGTATTCCTCCAGCAGCTGTGCTTTCTTAAAGGACAATTAAGATTATCATCAATTTTCCCTGTTACTAGTCCAGCAGACAACCTCGGAAAGAGGTGACATAAGGATTTCTTTCTGCAGAAACACTGCAGGAACTTACTGGACAATGTAATCATTATTTATACTACAGTAGTACGCAGGTGCCACCCCCCAGACTGTACTGTAAGATTCAGAATGAACCAAAAATGGGCCTCGTCCCTAACAGCCAAGAATCTAGTAAGCTGCAACAAATGTAAACTAACAAAGAAAGAGACAAACACGATACGCTCATGTTGACCTAACTCACTAGCAAGTTCTTTTTGAGAAAAGGATGTGAAAGAGTGGCATTACAGTGGCAATTCCTTTGCAGCGTGGGAGAAGTAAGAAAAAGATGATGCTTTCAAATCATAATGTGTGGGAACATAGAGATTAGACAAAGATGCAAGACAGAAATAATCATGTGAATAGGAAATGACACAGAAGAATAAGGCAAAGTCCAGGCAGTCCTTGGAACTGAAATAAGTAGTCAATCTTTGATCTAGCAGATGTGGTGTTATGGTCACAAAAATGAGGAATATACAAAAGGCTGCCCTTATTCAAGCAGTAACTGACACACAAAATGATGGGTCTAAGAAATGTACACTAGACTGTATGAAACAAATATGCAAGAACTAGATGTTGTAGATGCAAGGATTTTAAATTACAATCTCAAAGTACTGTGGGCCCTATATATGTTGTACTGTTCAGTTCAGCAACATCCCTTTGCTCTCTATCAACCTCAAGAAGCACAAGTATTGTGTAAACGTTAAATGTAAGGCTATATGATTTAAAGGTAATTTTGCTCTCTTGCAACTCAATAGGAACCCACTTAGGCATCCTGGTCTGAGCTATATCCATAACTAAGTATTATTAGTATACAGTGGTGATATATATGCCTTTTAGACATATATTTTAAAAAGTCAAAATTGCAATCAATGAGTTTAAATGCTTAAGTCCATTAAGGTAGCCTGTAGATAACCGTTTCACACTGGTGTAGTTTGTAGTCATATACTCCACATCGCTAAATAACAGTTCTGTATCATGGTAGGCAAAGAGGAAGAGTCCTCAAAATACATTTTGTATTGATCTTTGACATCCCTCCAGCATGGTATTCTATGATTCTATAACCTCTGACCCGGTTTTGCTATTGGTTTCATTTGGTCTCTCAGATACATTCAGATTGCAGAATGCTGTAACTCTCAGTCCAGCACACCTAACTTTAGTCCTATAAGACATTTATGTCCTGGAGTTTGGATTTGAGATTGCTTTTGGAGTTGATGGTCTGAAAGGCAGGGAAAGAAAAAAAAAAGAAAAAAAGAAAGAAGAATTAAAAAAAAAAACCCCACTAATAGATTTCTTAAAAAATAAACACTGCTGCTTTCTAACTGAGGACTATACCTTTTTCAATAATGAGAATCTATTTTCTGAGATAAACAATATCTATCGGCACAGACTCCTCATTTCAGAGTTTTCTCTAGGCACGTTTTAACAGATAATGTCTTTATGCAGACTCCACCTTTGCAGATTCTTTTGGAAGTGAAACTGAAGCTAATGTGAACCAAATATTGTTTAAGTACAGTTAACTGTTCTAAAACCCAAATCATTTTATTAACTGTGAATACTGAGTCCCTCAATATTCTACTCGGCTGGCAAATGCTAACACTAAAGAATGTCCCAGTGAATGTCCATAATTAAACCTTTTAATAATAAAGACAACCTTTTGGGGGAAAGTATAAAAAACTAACACAATAATCGGATTTACTTTATTACATTAGAATGCATAATTCAAATTTAGATAGACAGGCAGAACCTATGACCATAGAATCAGCTAGGTTAGAAAAGATTGTTAAGATCATCAGGTCCCCCAGGACTGCCAAGTCCACCATTAAATCATGTTACTAAGGGCCTTATGTGTACAGTTTTTGAACACTTCAGGAATGGGGACTCCATCGCTGCCCTGGGCAGCCTGTTCCAATGCCTGACAACCCTTTTGGCGAAGAAACTTTTCCTAATATCCAATCTAAAGTTCCCCTGGCACAGCTTGAGGCCGTTACCTCTTGTCCTATCACTCGTTACTTGGGAGAAGGGACCAGCCACCTCCTCAGCTGGTTGTAAAGTCTTGAATAAAGAACAGCATTAATAATCTATGTACACCACCATACACACTGCAACTATTCAGAAAGTCCAGAATCCATCTGCATTGTGCCAGTCTGTTTTACCTATACATCACCAAATACAAGTAACCTAAAAAGGAAACCTAAATATTTTCTTTTTCTTTCTGTAACTCAATATGATCCAAGATTTATATCCAGTAATTAGCAGAAAACTCAGTAACACAGCTCCTAGTTGTGTTCCCTCACTTCCAAACTTCAGAGTTAAGTACTTGAAAAGAGTTACCCACCTATATCTAGCTAGTTTGTTTTGAGTTTGTTTTTTTTTAAGAGATTCATTAAAGTCTATTTTCAGCCCCCAAGTCAAATCAGGGCTACAGAGGCTTTCCACACTTCCCAGGGCCAGAATCATCCCAAGAGCACAAACCTACATTTGTTCCCTAAAAAAAAAACCAAGTATGGCTCACACCTTTTCTTTAACAGACAATGGCAGAAGGAATGCCTAGCTTAAGCAAAGTGACCCAATAGTTGATATGTAACAGCATCTGTCTCCAGGTGGATTTCAGTGTCTCCTCAGCTTTGAAGACATACATCTCCCAGCTGTTTTGAGTTGCTAATAAAAATATCTGATTTAGCTAACTAAAATCCCATTTCTACCCAATTTTGTATACTAGACCAGGCCTCATACTGTCAGACATGTAAATACACAGGTAATTTTATACTGCAAAGAGTTTGTTTTACTTCGGAGTGTAAAATTAAGCCTTTGTACAAATTGCATTACTACAGTCTCAGTTACAAGTTTGCTTTTCATTAGCTCTGCTCAACTATTCACGAGGTTGCTAGTTTGCATGTCAACTATTACCATTCTGAAATGCATTTCCATGGTAGAAAAAGCTCAAGTATGAAAACAAATGTTAAATTGATCAGTGAATATGGAAAAGTTAATGAGGCTGTTGTTAGAAGGTACAACAGAAACACCATTAATTTCCCAATTGACCTACAGTTCATAGGCCTCAGAAAAGGACTTTACTTTTATAACAAACCATTATAATATACAGGCTCCATCCCCCCTAAAGTTTTGGCAAGATGAAAAGATACCCGGGTAGAGAGAGGAAACAATGTTTTCTTAGAAGAAATGGCCTGTTCAGCAGAAGAAGCAGCTGAGAGCAAAAAACCATAATATGGCTGAACATAAATATTCTAAAGAAGAAAGATCCTGGATTATTATTTTTTTTCTCTTTCTTTTTAATTAGGCTTTTAGAGAGCTCTGACCTCAGAACACAGCTTGGCAAAACTGGCAAGAATGTGACAGTGGGGTAATGCACTATTTTATCTATTTCCCATATCAGCCAAAGCAAAGAGTGAGCTACCTTTGAACTCTTGCCACATATGTGCATCTGTTTTCCTTCATCTAACAAGCCTTTCTGAGAAGCACATTGTAAATGCTGAATGCACCAAGCTGTGAAAAAGGGTAAGCATCATACTCCAGTGATCCCAGCACTTCACAGGACCTGGGATACAATACTGCAACTGGCTTAAGAAACAACAATCAGAGAACCTATGCTTAAGAACTCTGTGCTAAAGAAGCAAGGAAAGATGCACTGTCTGTAACAACAGCAGAGGTAATCCGTGTCCTGAATTGGACTACCCGTTGGTTACTTTGAGAAGTCTTTCCATCATAGCATGAAGCTCAGAGTTGGATTCTCAGCAGGGCACGTTATTATATGATACACTCAAGCTGCTACTGTATGTGCCATATCAGCTTATAACCAGCTTACTTTCTACATAGAAATCCAACTAAATGTAAACCAGAGAGCTCACTCTTCAGTACACAGTATGAATGCATGCACCTAATTACGTATGTGGTATTTAAACCATGCATAGGAAATAACTGCTTATTCATCACTTAGCCCCTGGTTCACCAGAATCTGAATTTGATTCTAAATAAACTGTACCAGTGCCCAACTTCGTTTAGGAAAGGAATGCTACAACTGAATGGTTTAGGTGAAAACCTCATCTGGGGAGGCAAATGAAAGGCTGCCAAAAAGTACTAATATTTAGGTTTACCAGAACCGGGGCATTAGATGCTGAGTATGACAGTTAGTGTATACTACAGTGGGCCTTTAAGAGCATATCCAAACCAGATTATTCACTATTTCAAGTCGGTGACACTGGATTCCAGCAAACCATCAATCAGTAATACATCCTTCATCAGTCACAGAAGAAACTCAAGTACTTCTAGAGTGCCTCCTACTTTGCGGCATTGCCTACACATTTCTAGCACTGTAATAAGTCAAGTCCCCTGTAAGTTTACGGGACATGTGTCACCACTCCTGATATGTGCAACAACCCCCCAGGTAATGGAAAGTGGAAATTGACCAATGGCTTACCACATTTGCACTTGTGACTTCTGAAGAGCTGACACAAAACAGGGTCAGGCATATGTCACTAACGAGATATGCCTGACTGATGACTTATCATCAGTACAATGTAGGCTGCACAGAGGCCACCTACAGCCCCCCAAGATAAAACACCTCACTTGTCAAATGCTGGAGCCTACATAAGAGTCCTTTTGAGGACGTCGGGGGTGATACAAGAGGAGGCTGCTGGCTGTGGGAGGTAGCTTATGGGGGAACCCCATGAGCGCCCCCAGGAGAAAGTCTGGAACCTGCAGAGCGCCTGCCCTGCCGCGGCGAGCGGGGGAACCCGCAGTCCGCGACACCCGGCAAAGCCGCCTCGAGGGGACCCGCACTCAGCCGGCGAGGCTGGGCAGCAACGCGGCCGAGGCGTGGCAGGAGCCGCGGTGTCCTCGGGGTGTTCCCGGGATGTACCCGCTGCGGCCCCCCGCCTCACACCCGCCCGGACCAGCAAGGAGCCCCCCTACCCTGCTGCGCTAGTGAGGGGCTTCCATTGGCCGGCAGGCAGAGGTTCCCGCGCCGTCACTGGAGTATGCAAATGAGCACTCACCCCATTGGCTCCCCCGCCCGCGGCGGCGCCAAACAACATTTGCATGGCTGTGGACAGCTCTTTTGTTGTCAACCGCGGCGGGCGGTGCGCGCGCGCTCGGGGCGGTGGGCGGGCGCGCGCGCGCGCGCCGCCGAGGCCGCCGCCCGCCGGCACCTGCTTTCCCTCGAGGCGGGTCGCGCGGGGCTCACCCCCCCCCTCCCCCACGCGTAACTTTGAACGCGGGGGAGGCCGTCACGCGCGAGCTCGCCCCGGCGCTCCCCTCAGACGGCGGCCGCACTCCCCTCCTCCCCTCGGCTTCCCCCTCATCCCGCCCCGCTCCGGCGGGAGGCGGTGGGGCTGAGCGCCCCTCCTCCGGGCAGGATGGTGGACCTGGACAGCGAGGTGCCCCCGCTGCCGCCCCGGTACCGCTTTCGGGACTTGCTGCTGGGAGATCAAGGCTGGCAGAGCGACGACAGGTGAGTGCGTGCGCCGTCCGGCCGCGGGGATAAGCCCGGGGGGTGCCCGTCTGAGAGGGGTGGCTCGGCGGAGCGCGGCCCAGGGTCAGCGCCCTGGGACGGCATGCACCGCCCGGCGGAGGCCAGCCCCAGTGGAAAACTTTACCGGGAAAGGGATGCGAGGGCCGGCGGGGGGGCTGCGCTGCCCCGCCCCGCCGCCGCCCACCGAGGCGCTGGGCATCCCATTGCCTTCGGGGCACCGCCGCCTCTGCAGAAGCACCTTTCTCTGTACCCTACGACAACGGTAGGAGGAAGAGTAGGAGAGGTGCGGTACCGTCTCCCGGTGCTAACATGCACCGAGGGGAAACCCCACGCAAAATACCCTTTTGCCGCTCGTCGGAAAGCCAGGTGCCGAGGGCTCTGGATGTTTTCCTGACCCAGTGTGCATTCTCCTTTACATGCAGTTTCTTTTCGTGTGAGGACGCTAGCCTCGGATGTAACTACCATTAGTTTATTCCTTTATGAATTACTTCAAGGACTGTCAGTATCTTTAATTACAAACAGATAGGAAAAGGTATTTGTCTCAAGTCAAATAATGTTTCTAAAAGAGGGAAGAAAACCCAAACAAAACCTTATCTCAAAATAAACAAACGAACCAGGAATGCATGTTTAATTCAGAAAAGCTAAATGAATAGTATTAATGAGCACAGACAGCATCACACCACTTTGACCGTTCAGTTTGGTGTGTCTGTAGATTATTGCATGATCCTGTCTTGCAAAATTAAGTGTGAGATCCACTGTGTAGCAGTGATTTATTATGGTCAAATGACAGATAAGCAAAATTGTCTAGTACTATATGAGAGTGTATTGAATTGATTTTAATTCAATGTCTTTACATTGTCCGAACGAGTCTTCAGCTCATCAGACAGAAACTTTGTTTTTAAAGCTGGTCTACATAGTTTAGATTTTAGCTGCTTTCCTAAAGAGAGATGGATTCTCAGTGATGGTGCAATCACAAGATCATGCAGATATGTAACTAATTATGACCTTTTTTTAGGGGAATATGCTATACATTGAAGCAATTAAATGTTTATTCAGACAGTTATGAAATGGTGAATGACAAGATAGTTACAAAAAATGAATGCTGTTAGTTGGAAATGACAGCACTGTAACTACATAATGGAGACTTAAGATCTTAGAGTCTCATTTCTCCTGCAATAGGTTAAAAAAACGTGCAACCTTTCTTATTTTATCAACTTCATCTAGCTAGAATTTTAATGGTTAAAATAAACAAAATATGCCCTATATACCTCTTTGGACCACTCTGTGACTTAATGCTTTTTCCAGCTCTAGTTTAAACATCTGTCAAGTGCTTCCCTGATATCAGTTGTGTGACTTGAACTTTATGGAGTTACCTTCTATGGAAAGAGTGTTATCTGGTCTCAAATAGGAAATGGGCTATAAGCAACTGCATAAACTATGATGATACTATGATAAACCTTACAGCATCCATTTAGCTATGCAGCTGTGTATTTTGTGTCTGTGTGCACTTAACAAAGTGAAAATAAATAATCTTTAAAAAAAACCCCAACCTATAGCAGAATTCTAGCATAACAGTATTATAGAGCAGTTGTTGATGAAAATTATAGCAAAGGACTGCTAGAATATTATTTAATATTCATACAAGCATTGCAAGAAGATCTCTGGCACATCTGAAATATAAAGTATGAACCTAGGACTGGAAATGGCTAGTAGAAATGGCTTTCAAGATCTTCAGGTATTGTCCCAAGCTGCGGCTGCACAGCTGCACTGTAGCAGGAAGGCTGTGTGGTACTATCCCATCAATGCCACTAGGATTGTGCTTTACATTAGATTGTGACAACAGCACTCTGTCCTCCGGCTCTGCAAGTTGCCATAGCAGTCTTGTTTGATACAAGCTTTCCAGTAACTGAACAAAGTCCATTTTTTTAAATCTTGAGTATTGTCTTTTTTTGCCCATCTTACAATAAGGTTCTGTCCAGATTCTCGTTGTCCTGTACTAGAGGTTATAACTTTTAATACTGAAATACTAATCCAATCCCCTGTTGCTGGTATTTTTCTACTATCATAGAAAAAGGATACATATTCTGCATAGAAATACTGTAAAATGGAATATTTAGAGTGTTAGAAATACATTCAGGAAATATTTAATGAGAAAGACTGCAGACCTGTGGGGACCCTAAGGTCAGTTGCTTATTAGTTATTAATGATTAGTATGACACAAGTATATCCTATTTTTAGTTGTTTACTCTTTTGTCTTTTCTTTGTCTCCTTACATAAGTGGTTCAAGTTTGGTTTTGGTGAAGTGTATCTTTTATACTCTATTCTAATTAGTGTGCAATGTAAATATTGCCAAATGTGTTGCTTGTAACCCCTTCAGCTGAATGGACATTAACTATGAATGGAATATCTGAACACTAAAATACAGTTAAGTAGCCTTATAGAATGGCTACAAAATGGCAAGTGGTCAAGGCAGTTCATTTTAGGAGGTTATTGGCCCTTGGCTGAGATGTGGTGAACTGGAAACTGGCAGACAGAGCCTTTAGCAATATGACCTAGCATGAGGCATCCCTGCCCATGGCAGGGGGTTGGAGCTAGATGATCTTAAAGTCCTTTCCAATCCTAACCGTTCTATGATTCTAAGAAAATCATTTCCAGCAACTACGTAGTTCTATTTGCTTTCAACTCTGGCAGTCTGATCTGTTATCAGGGGTTTTCCATCTCTGTGATCTGTGAATTTCAGGTCTGTTACCAGCTGAATGCTTTGTCTTTTATCTTAGTCCTATTCCCTTTTTGATCTTCCCAGTCTGTTCATCCTTGAAGCCTCTCATTTCTCCTTCTATTCTGCCCTTTCTGGAAAGATGCTCACTTTTTGCTGGCTGGAAGGCGTATGTTCCATCTCTGGTGTTTCAGATAATTGTTGATTCTTCAAAGTGGAGAGGAGATGGAATTATTCGTCTCTTCTGCCACAAACTACCCAGGATTCTTTGTCACTAAATCACAGTTTTAATAGCATAGTTTGCCAGTAAGTAATGTGATAGTATTTAATAACAAATGTGATTGATATGATTGAAATGATACAGACATCTTTCTTTTCCTTATTTCTGACATAAGCATTGTACCCAATTTTGAAACCTGACTGGTTATGTTTCTTTAGGAGAAGAGTTTGATCAGCTATTTCTTTTAAAGGTTCTTGTCCATTTATAAAATGTAGACATGATAAAATGCTCACCTGAATGTAACAGGACTAGGATTCAGAACTTTTGTTCTTGGACATAAATCCTTTGGAAACGATTTGTAATGTTTGTTGTTTTCTTTTCTTGAGGACTTCTGTGGTGGAGCATCACTTGGGCTTCTCTGGGGTTTTTGTGTGTCTAGCTCACAGTCATTTTTTACCTATACTTCTCCAGTACAGTAACATCCATCTCAGTGCTTTTGCATTTCTCTCCCAGAAAAATAATTCTACTTGCATAGCTTAGATTCCTAACCACCCTTGCAGTTGGCTTCAGTAAGAGGTGGGTTCTGGGCTGTCATATTCCACAAACCACCAAATTGGATTGCATATTATTTTTCATAAAATAAGTTGCTGTGGGCAGAAGAACATGGTGAGTCTTTGGCAAATGCATTTGTTCGGTAAATACACTATTTTTAATAATTATCTGTCTTGAATTAGCTGAGTGCTTTTTTCCTGGAAAAAATGGATGTAAAAACCACTTTGTCTTTGAAGGGCTAGATTTTCAAAGGACATGGCTCCCTTGAAAATTATGGAGGTGAAGCTTGATGCTTCCAGTACACACATTTTATACCGAATGTATAGCTTCCTTAGGACAACATGTAAAAGATCAGCCCACAAGCTAGAGTGTATGCATGTCAAGTGGGTGAATTCTTTGGCAGGTAGGGTAATGTAAAAGGTTTTTTCTGGTGTGTAAATATTCCAGTCACTGGGCTAAGGGTTAAGAGAAGATTGAGTCATCTTTTCCGCTAAATTTGTAAATATCACTAATATCCTTTTGCGACTCTCACATTTTACTTTCATTATTGGAAGTATCTGAAACTGAAATAATCTGTTTTGATTTCCTGGATAGTCTGAGAAATTTCTTGACCATTATAATGCAATTTGTCTTTCAGTACTGAGGAAGGGAATAGGAATAAAGGGAGAACTTGGTTAACACAACAAGTTGTTCACCTGTTAATACAGTGAGGTTCACTGTATTGTATCAGTTATTGTAATAGTAAAATACAATGGTAATCATTATTGTAAAAGTAAATTATGTAATAAAACATTTCATAAATCTACTGATCATCAATCCTTAGTCTTATCAGCTGTGTTGAAGAGCATCACAAATAAAAGTAGAAAATATCCTACCTTGTGAAGACCTGATATGTTTAAACCTGGTAAATTTGCTTTGGATGAGGGGTGAAAAGAGGATATTTCCCATGTAGGCTTTGGAAAGATACAATGAAGAGGTTATTCACAAAATATACTTTCCTGTGTACATATATAGTTACCATGTACTTCAAAATATCTAAACCACAAGACACTAGAGGTGTAAAGAAAAAAATCTGTTAAAAATAGAAAAGCATTTATGTGCTGTTGGTAACACTGCTTTTTTAGTAGGGTCAGTCATATAAATTCAGTGACTGAGTATGTTGCAGAGCACACTTTGCCTCACATTCCTTAAACCATTTATGTAAAGACATCTAGTCCATTCTTTAGAAGCTTGCAAAGATACAAGAGCTGTATTTGTTTTAGGAAATTCAAACAAGCCAGGAAAGTTTTCCACCACTGAAGCATGACCTCTTATACTAGTGAGCTCTTCAAATTTTCGTTTGCATGCTTTGGCCATAGCTGGCTAACCAAAACTATGTTGAACAGTGCAGTGCTATTGTGGTTTAACCCTAACAAACACAGCTGCTCACTTACTCCCCCTTCAGTGGAATGGGTGAGAGAATCATAAGGGAAAAGTGAGAAAACTCGTGGG